AAAATATACTTTATCATAAATTGGTGAATGTAAGCATATGCATCCCCGAGTTCTGTGAACTACCCTAGCAAATTATTGAGCCCAAAGAGGGGGTCATAGGAACCTCAGTTTATAGCCTATCAGCCACCTGCAAAGATAAAACGTGGAGTTTGGCTGGCACCATGGCTCACTAGGCTAATCCTCCAACTGCGGCCCCGGCACCCCGGGTTCTAATCCCGGTCCGGGCGCCGGATTCTGTCCCAGTTGCTCCTCTCCCAGTCCAGCTCTCTGCTGTGGCTTGGGAGTGCAGTGGAGGATGGCCCAAGTCCTTGGGCCCTGCACCCGCATGGGAGACCAGGAGAAGCACCTGGCTCCTGGCTTAGGATCAGCACGGTGAACCAACAGAAAAGGAAGACCTTTCTCTCTGTCTCTCTCTCTCTCACTATCCGCTCTGCCTGTCAAGAAAAAAAAAAGTGGGACTTGAGATTGGCATCAGAACTGGGGGAGGTGGGGCAGTAGTCTTGTGGGGCTGAGTCCTCAACCTGTGGGATCTGCTTCTGCCTCCAGGTAGACAGTGTAGACAGCGTAGACACGCAGCCAGTGTTCCCTGCAGAAAGACTTTCTTAACAACTTCTTTATTTATTTGAAAGTCAGAGTAAAACAGAGAGAGGGAGAGACAGATTGAGAGAGAGGAAGAGAGAATCTTCCTTCTGCTGGTTCACTCCCCAGATGCACATAACGCCTGGGGCTGGGGCTGGGCCAGGTGAAGTCAGGTGCTAGGAGCCTCTTCCAATTTCCTTATGGGTGACTGGGGCTCAGACACTTGGACCATCTTCCACTGCTTTTCCCAGGCCATTAGCAGGGACCTGGATCGGCAGTGCAGCAGCCGGGACACGAGCCGACGTCCATGTGGGATGCCCGCTTGGCAGGCGGCAGCTCAATCCGCTATGCCACAATGCCAGCCCCAGAAAGACTTTTTAAAACATATTTATTTTCATTTTATTTAAAAGGCAGAGAGACAGGCAGGCACACAGAAAGAATGCCCATCTCTTGCTGCACCATGGCAGGTCCAAGTGGAAGCTAAGGTCTGGGAACTCTGGGTGTCCCATATGGGCGGCATGGGCAGAAGACTGGAATCAGGAGCTGGCTCCAGGATGGGCACGAGCAGGAAACTGGAATCAGGAGCGGAGCTGGGACTTGAGTGAGGCACTCTGATATGCCATACGGGAGTCCCAGGAGCTGTGCCAAACGCCGGGCCCTAGAAGTGACTTTTAAGATGTCAAAACATCAAATTATATAGAAAATAGGAAGAAAAAAAAAAAAAAAAAAAACAGCACCGCGCACGGTTCTCTGCACTTCCACTCCTTGTAGCATTGCTTTCTCTGATTTGTGGTCCGCCCCCTCCACCTGAACAGACGCACGGAACTGCGTCTGTTCTCTGCTGTGCCCCCCAAGTCAGGCGCTAGTCCCCAAACCGGGACCATTTCTACCGTGACGAGGCGCAGCCCGGGGTCCCGTCCCAGCGGCGTGGCTCCCAACACGTCCATCTGGACACAGTGGCGTGCCCATTTTGCAGGTGAAAAAGGCACGAATTGGCTGGAGTCACGGGTGCCCCGGCACAATTCGGGTTCCCAGCCGCTTCGGGACGGCGCGCTCCCAAAGCCGCACCCAGGGGCGCGCGGGCGCTCAGCCCCCGCAGCCCGCGGAACGCGGTAACCAGGGACGCCTAAGGTCTGCGGGAGACCGGAGCTGGACAGCGTACTCTCTACGCATGCGCGCCCTGCCGCCCTTCCCGCCCGGCCCTCGAAATCCTGGGCCCCGCCCCCTCTGCGCGATCGACTACTGCGGTCCGGGCAAGGCCGCCTGAAGACACGCCCCTCTCCGCTAAGCCACGCCCACCCGCTGGCGTCCTCGTCTTTCCCCGCCTCCTCCAGGCGCCTGCGCACTGTAGGTTCCGGCGTCGGCTCCTGGCGCCTGTGGGCTGAGTGTGTGGCTTCCGGACGGGGCTAGGGAGCCGCCGTGCGCGGTCTGGGAGTCGGAACCCGGGGATCTGCCGCGCAGGCTGCTCTGACCCGGGCTCAGGGAGCCCCGGGGGCTCCCGCCGTCTCCGGGCCGACATTTCCTGGAGGCTTGCGCGGCGCCGCGGAGGCCCGGCTCCGATCGGCAGGTGACTGGGACGGCTGGAGCGGGGATGTGTGCCTGTGCGTGACCGTGGGGGTCCGGAGTGAGACCAGGGCGAGGTGGTGTCAGCGAGAGCGCCCAGTGAGCGCGAGAGACGGCCGTGTGTGAAAGTCCGGTCCGTGTGTGAGGCTGGGGGGGGGGGCGAGTGTGTGTGTGTGTGTGTGTGTGAGGGAGACCCGTAGAGGTGAGTGTGAGAGCGCGGACTGGGAGAGTCCAGTGCGAGACCGAAGTCTGTGGGTGTGCAGCAAAGGGAAGGCTGTGTCTCCGTGATGACTGTGCAGCGCTCACACAGGTGTTGTTTGGGAGTGCACAGACAGCTCCTGAAATGCTTCTCATCTCCAGGCTGCGGCTGTTTTCTGTACTAGTGGTTGCTGTTGGCTCGCATCTCCTTGGTGGCGACTAGTTACAGGAAAGACTAAGGTAGGATTAGAAGGGTTAGGACTTTCAGCCCCACCTCTTCCCTGCCTCTGGGAGGGGAGAGGGGCCGAAGGTTAACATGATCACCAGAGACCAGTGATTGAACCAATAATGCTCACGGAATGAAACTTCCATAGAAATTCCGAAGGGTTGAGTTCGGAGACCTTTCAGGTAGCTGAACATACAGGGGTTCCTGGAGGATGGCGTGTCCTTTCCCACAAAGCCTTGCTCTATGCATCTCTTCATCTGTATCCATTGTAATGCCCTTTATAAAAAATCAGCAAACCTAAGTGTTGCTTTGAGTTCCGTAAGCCTCTAGCGGATTAATCACACTCAGGGAGGGAGTCTTAGAAACTGACTTATAGCCGATTAGTGAGAAGTACAGGTAGAATAATTTGGGATTCACTCTTGGCATAATGGGGCGGGGGCAGTCTTGGGGACTGAGCCCTTAACCTGTGGGATCGGACATTATCTGCTAATGCATAATGTCAGAATTGAATTGAGTTAGGGGATGCCTAGCTGGAGGTTGCTGTAGGATTGATTGCTGGAAAAACTCCCAGGTATCTGGTATCGTAAGTGTTCTGTGTTGTAAGAGGAGAAGCGGAGCTTGTTTTTCCTTTATATCGTCCGTGTGTATTTCAGAGACTGGATTGTGAAAATTGAGAGTGGTACTGAGCTCTGTATGCAAAGGAGAAATTGCTACGCTTGTATGTGAAAAAGCAGCAACTATGTGAGGCTCCCTGGAGAGCCTGGGAGAGTGTGTGTGTGTGTGTATGACCACAATACTGGACTGGGAGAGTTCAGTTAGTGTGAGAGAGACACCAGTGAAACAGGAGGGTGTCTGTCTGGCCTGTGAGATTGTGTGAAAGTGTGTGTGCATCCCAGCACAACAGACTGGAGTGCTACAGTCAGTATGTATATTGTGTGTGTGAGAAACCAGATGGAACATGAAAGACAGGATGCGTTTGCCTCTATGTGTGAGAGACTAGAGCATGTGGAAATCAGTGTATCTCTGAAAGATACTATTGAGTATGTGTGTGAAAGGCTGCCATGTTTTTGTGTGTGAGGAGAGGGGAAGAAGACTTGTGGTTGTGTGAGATGAAAATGGGTGAGAAAAAAACTGCGTGAACCAGGGTGTTTCACCAGAAGGCTTCATAAGTGTGGGTGTGTGAGCGAGAGGTAAGGAGCAATGCGGTGTGGGTGTGTGTGAGAGAGTAAGGGTCAGGAATATATGGGAATCTGTTTGTAAGTCACCGCAAATACTTGTACCCAGAGCCTTTCTGAGACCATGGCGCATGTGACTGTGTATGGTCTGCTTGTGATTATATCTTCTATGTGATCAGGAAGTATGAGGGTACTTCAGGAAGTTCTAAAAAAATAGAATTCGAAGATGTCTACTTTAGTGCCAAAATTTTATTTAAAGATTTATTTATTTGAAAGAGTTACAGAGAAAGAGAGAGAGAGATCAATCTTCCATCCACTTGTTCGCTCCCCAGATGGCCACACAGCCAGGGTTAGGCCAGGCTGAAGCCAGGAGTTTCATCCGGGTCTCCCACATGGGTAGCAGGGGCCCAAAATACTTGGGCCATTTTCTGCTGTTTTTCCCAAGCCATTAGCTGGTAGCTGGATACAAAGTGGAGCAGCTGGGACACAGACAAGTGCCTATTTGGGATGCTTGCATTGCAGACAGCAGCTTTACCTGCTACATCACAAGGCCATCACCCCTCCCCCCACCACCAAATTTTTAAGCCCATGCATACAAGCGGTTTTCAGAAGGTTATGGAAAAATGTGTACTATGAAAAATATGCATGAATCTCAGTATTTTGGGCACAAAATGAGCTTACCTTTTTATTCTATTTTTCTACAAACTTGAAGTACTCTCATATATGAGGATCTTTTGTTAGTATCTGTGTCATCTTTATGCTTGAAATTTTGTCACTGTATGGCTGAGATGTGTATGGGGAGACTATCTGGAAGACTGATAGTGTTGGATTCTTTATGTGTAGAGCTGTTTGGAATTTTGAGTTGCTGGAATGAGAATCCTGGAATAGAATTCCCTGCTTCCAGGCTAAGAGTCCCGTTAAGAAGCAAAAGCTGAGGTGACTGGAGATCCTGACTAGAATAGGGAACACCCTCAAGTCTAAGTGCAGCAAGGGAAGTAAAGGAGCTGAGGACAGAGAAAGAAGGTTGCAGAACTGTGCTAAAGGTTGCACTGTTCCAAAGTAAGAGCAGAGTGAAGGACCTTGGAACAAGGGGAGAGAAGGCCACCTCTGGTGGTATTTAGGAGTCAGGTTTTTTTTTTTTTTTTTTAGATTACTTATTTATTTGAAAGTCAGAATTACACAAAGAGAGAAGGAGAGGCAGAGAGAGAGAGAGAGAGAGAGAGGTCTTCTATCTGCTGATTCAGTCCCCAGTTGGCTGCAATGGCTGGAGCTGTGCTGATTCAGAGCCAGGAGCTTTTTCTGGGTCTCCCACATGGGTGCAGGGGCCCAAGGACTTGGGCCATCTTCCACCGCTGTTCCAGGCCATAGCAGAGAGCGAGATAAGAAGTAGAGCAACCAGGACTTGAACCAGCACTCATATGGTATGCTGCCACTACGGGCGGTGGCTTTACCCATTATGCCATAGCACCAGCCCCAGGAGTCAGGTTTTTTGACCTGTAGACTGTCAGAACTTGAAAGTCTCAGAAATAGGAATCTCTCCACCTTTACCTATAATATATAGGAAGTGATTATTTCAAAAATAAATTAACGTAATCTATTCCAAGTACCTACTACTTTCTTTTTTCTTTATTCCTTCCTTTCTTCTTTCCTTCCTTTTCTTCCTTTCTTCCTTTTATTTCCCTTCCCTTCCTCAATCCCTTCCCTCTTTCCTTTCCTTTCTTTTCTTTTATTTTCTTTCCCCTTCCCCTCCCCTCTCCTTTCCTTCCCTTCCCTCTTCTTTTCTTCTTTCTCATCTGACAGAGATTTACAGTATTCCTAGTTCACTCCCCAAATGTCCATAACAGCTGGGCCTGGATGAAATCACGAGCCAGGACCTCAGTCCAGCTCTCCCATGTGAATGGCAGGGACCCAGGTATTTGAACCATCATCTGCTGCCTCCCAGGATACACATTAGCAGCAAATGGAATTGGAATCGAGGCCAGGACTCAAATCCAGGCTTTCCACCATGGGATGTAGGCATCCTTAGCAGTGTCATCACTGTTAACACCAAATGCCCATCCTCTTATTTTTATTTGTAATAAAACCAAATAATGAGACAGCAACTTTTGAGAAAAAAATAAATTTAGATCATATAAGAAACAGAGGTATAGACTATACCCCCTCAGTAGTCACAATTGCCCATCATCACCCAGTGATGTGTGCATGGGACAAAGAAGGCTGAGAAGAAGGGTAAGACAAACTTTAGACTGGTGATCTGATTGTGCAGGGTGAAGGCCTCAACTCTCACTGTCCTTTCTCTTCTTCCAGCCTTGCATTCACAGGACACTGCTATCTTCAAGAGAGAAACCAAGAGAAAGCAGAATGGCTGTTGAGCTAGTGAAAACCATGCCTCAGGTTGGTTGGTCTTTCTTTTCTTCTCTTGAAAGTTTCTTGCTGCTTATGACTTGGTAATTGTTTTTCTTTTGAGCATTTGCTTTAGAACATTCTCTGATTGGGCAAGAGCCCAATTCCTACTTCTCTGAGTAACCACCCAGTGGGTGTGTAATAGCTGAAGATGATGAGTATGTACATTTTTAGTTCAGTGTTTACCATTGTGAAAAGATTCGGTTTGTCGTAATTGGAATAGAGGTACGGCAGTGTAAGTGAGATGGGTTCCATGTTTAATGTGCATACCTCTGTCCTTAATCTGGAGCCTGCAGTTGGCATTGAAAGTAGGGCGAGGTCATGTGAAACGAAGCCCTCACTCTGTGGGGTCTGATACTTTCTCCAGCTAGGTAGTGTCAGAATTGAATTGAATTAGAGGATACCCAGCTGGCATTTTCTGTAGAATTGATTGGTTGTTGGTAGGCAGAAATCCCCACACATCTTGATGACCAGAGGTCAAAGAACTATTTTGTGGTGTTAGACTATAGGAGAGCTGTGGCATAGCAGGTAAAGCTGCCTTCCTGTAGTGTTAGCATCTCTTATGGGCGCTGGTTCAAGTCCCAGCTGCTCTACTTCCAACCCAGCTCTCTGCTATGGCCTGGGAAAGCAGTAGAAGATGGCCCAAGTCCTTGGGCCCCTGCACCCATGTGGGAGACCTGGAAGAAGCTCCTGGCTCCTGGCTTCAGATTGGCACAGCTCCGACCATTGCAGCCAGTTGTGGAGTAAACCAGCAGATGGAAAACCTCTCTCTTTCTCTCTGCCTCCTTCTCTCTGAGTAACTCTGACTTTCAAATAAATAAATCTTAAAAAAAATAGGAGAAACTGTCGTATCCTGTCACTCATCCTTGAATTCTTAACTTCCATTTTTCTCTACCTCAACAGTCATTTTGCCTTCTCTTGGTTTCTCTCTTGAAGATAGCAGTGTAATTAATCAGTTCTGTAATGGCCTTAGTTTTTTTCTTGGCTTCTATGTACAACTAGTGATTTCCTGTTGACACCTAGCCCATTTTCATAGATTTATTTTATGTATTTATTATAAATATGTGTCTATAATAAATGTATGCTTTTTTAAAAGATTTATTTATTTATTTGGAAGGCAGAGTTACAGAGAGACAGAGAGAAAGAGAAAGAGAAAGGTCTTCCATCCACTGATTCACTCCCCAAATGGTCGCAACAGGCCGGAGCTGCACCAATCCAAAGCCAGGAGCCAGGAGCTTCCCCCGGGTCTCCCACACGGGTGCAGGAGCCCAAGGGTTTGGGCCATCATGTATTGTTTTCCCAGACCATAGTAGAGAGCTGGATCAGAAGAGGAGCAGCTGGAACTCAAACCAGTGCCTATATGGGATGCCATCACTACAGGCGGCAGCTTTACCCACTATGCCATAGTGCCAGCCCCAAAAAATCATGTATGTTTTTGAAATCATTACATTATATGCTATTTATGTTATGTCTTGATTTACTTCATGCCAGAATAGACTTAAATTTTGTCCATTTTTTAATGGAAGACTTGTAACATAAATGAAAGTAGAGGGACAAGTTTAGTGAAATTCCCCTGCTCCCTTTAATCATTACCAACCAGGACAGACTGCTAATGTTTGTTTTTAATTTCACATCTTCCCAGGGTTATGTATATTTACAAATGAAAGAAAAATTGTTACATCCATCAATTTTGTAGTTTCACTAGATCAATTTTAGAATACCTTCTTAGCAGGCTGAGACTGAATATTGTAACTATACTGAAGATTCTTAAATTCAGTACCCACTTCAATTCCCTTCTGGTGTACTGTGGTATACTAGGAAGTTAAAAACTGCATTATGCAAGCTCCCTTGCAAATAGGGTTCTATGTATGATTTACATACCCTAAGTGAAGGCTTCTGATACAAGATATAGAAAGCAGAAGTAACAGGAATCAGAGATTGTGTGCAGTGAGATAGGATGTTAGGAACAGCATATTGGTAGAGGAGTTCAGTTCTTCTGGGGCAACAATGGCTGAAGTGCTATTGGTCAGATCACCCAGCATATTATGAGTGATACTGGGGAATGGGATTTTTGTTTGTTTTATTTATTTGAAAGACAGAGAGGTAGAAAGATCTTTCATCTGCTGGTTCTCTCCCCAAATGTCTTCAATGGGAGGTCCTGGGCCAGGCTAAAGCTGGGAGCCAGGAACTCAATCCAGATCTCCACTATGGGTAGCAGGGACCCAACTACTTGAGCCATCACCTTAGGGTGCACTTTAGCAGGAAGCAGGACTCAAACCGAGCACTCCTATACAGATGTTCTTAGCCAAACACCCAACCCCACAAAATAAGATATTTTGGAGGTGAGGAAACAAAATGTTGGTATAATTTTTTTTCTGACAGTATTATATCCAAACCTGGTTTTTCTGGAAATCCTGTAAGTTACCTGATTTAGAATTCATTTCATTGATTATAGGATTAACAGCTAAAAAAAAAAAAATAATCACTGGCTATGCATGTATATGGATAGATAACACATAAACATTTGGGAAAGGGTAATATAGATACTAAATTACTAACCCACAAGCACTAGCATCAGTAGCACTCAAATTAATTTTCCTATGACCAAATTATAGCAATTATTGGAAAGAATGAAATTAATTTTCCTATGACCAAATTATAGCAATTATTGGAAAGAATGTGAGCACCATTTTCTTGCATTGATAAATTCATCTCATAATTTTGTAAGAACGTGTGGAATGATGGTTTTCAACCACCTGTGTAGAAGCTGAAAACTAGAACTCAGGAAAACCAGTAGTTCACAGTGAAGCTTAAAATTTTTTGTAATGTCTTTATGTGAAAAATAAACATTTTTAAGAAGGTATGTACATCTACTAAAGTCTCATACATTGAGTATCTTTACATTATATCTTTGTTCTATTATTGTTTAAGAGCAAATTAAGATATCTACATAGCTTTGCTTCTATAGTTAGTTCTCAATATATTTGGTAACCTTGCAAATCAGGCACTGAATTTAAGACGACTTTTTTTTTTTTTTTTTTTTTTGACAGGCAGAGTGGACAGTGAGAGAGAGAGACAGAGAGAAAGGTCTTCCTTTGCCGTTGGTTCACCCTCCAATGGCCGCCGCGGCCGGCGCGCTGCGGCCGGCGCACCGCGCTGATCCGATGGCAGGAGCCAGGAGCCAGGTGCTTTTCCTGGTCTCCCATGGGGTGCAGGGCCCAAGCACCTGGGCCATCCTCCACTGCACTCCCTGGCCACAGCAGAGGGCTGGCCTGGAAGAGGGGCAACCGGGACAGAATCCGGCGCCCCGACCGGGACTAGAACCCGGTGTGCCGGCGCCGCTAGGCGGAGGATTAGCCTAGTGAGCCGCGGCGCCGGGCAAGACGACTTTTGTTTCCAAAGGAAATAAGCTTGACGATGAGAAATTACCCATAATACTTACAAAAAAATTTCTTGCAACCTGCTGATTATCATAACTGGACATCAGCTTTTTTCTTAGAATGTTTAAATCTTTCATTTCGACAAGTCAAAGTATATATTGCTTTGTATTCAAAGTCAGTATACAAGTTGCAGGGTTGCACGCCTACGCCACATGATCTCATATTACTTTAAGCTCACTTGAGTATAGCATGCAAGTTGTAAATGGCACAGCATAAAAAAAATGCATTCTGAATGTATTTGTTATTTGTATTGTTTTAGGAAAAAATTGGCCACATCATTTTAGTGTTCTTTTGGTTCTTCCCTGCCTCCCAAAAAACATTGGGATCCCATAGAGGACCTTTTGAAAAGGATCAATTTAGATATACTTGTCTTATTGGGGTTTTCTCGGTTGAGCCACAGGTATATGCCCTCAACTGAAGCCCTGTTTACTTCCCTGTGGCTGACCACCCATATTTCTCCATGCCACAAAGTAGAGATCATCACCATTGTATACCAGTCATGTGTGGACATGGTTGGTCAAGAAAGTATTTGTGTCATTTCAGGACTTGTTGACATTCAAGGATGTGGCAATATGCTTTTCCCAAGAGGAATGGGAATGGCTGAACCCTGCTCAGAGGCATTTATACAGCAGTGTGATGTTGGAGAACTATCAGAACCTGGTATCACTGGGTAAGGACCTTTTTCCCCATGCGTAATTGAGAGTCTACCTTATAAGACCATTTACATTTTTATTTATTGAACTGCTTTTATTACATATGAGTCAGAATGGAATCTGGGAAACAAAGAGAATCTTCAGAGATTTGTTGAAAATTTCAAATTTAGAGTCTCTAAATTTGAGACATAATGGATATTCCATTGCTATATTCTCTTGGCACTTGAGAACACAGGACATGATGTAAATCTTAACAGTCTGTGTGTTTCATCGTTCAGTCTGTCCTGCAGTATTATTGTTATCACCACTAGGCAGTAACAAGTTTTGCTAAGAATGTAGCTAAATTACTATAAATCCAGATTACTGCTTTTTTTTTTAAAGATTTTTTTTTTTTTTTTTTTTGAGACAGGCAGAGTGGACAGTGAAAGAGAGAGAGACAGAGAGAAAGGTCTTCCTTTTGCCGTTGGTTCACCCTCCAATGGCCGCCGCGGCCAGCGTGCTGTGACCAGCGCACCGCGCTGATCCGATGGCAGGAGCCAGGTACTTATCCTGGTTTCCCATGGGGTGCAGGGACCAAGCACTTGGGCCATCCTCCACTGTTCTCCCTGGCCACAGCAGAGAGCTTGCCTGGAAAAGGGGCAACCGGGACAGAATCTGGCGCCCCGACCGGGACTAGAACCCGGTGTGCCAGCACCGCAAGGCAGAGGATTAGCCTAGTGAGCCGCGGTGCCGGCCAAGATTTATTTATTTATTTGAAAGTCAGAGTTACACAGAAAGAGAAGGAGAGGCAGAGAGAGAGAGGTCTTCCATCTGCTGGTTCACTCCCCAATTGGCCACAATGGCTGGTCTGCACCGATCCAAAGCCAGGAGCCGGGAGCTTCTTCCAGGTCTCTCACATGGGTGCAGGGGCCCAAGGGCTTAAAAAAACAAATAAGATGAGTATAGAGTCATTGAGCTTAAAGTCAATAGAAAATTAAGCCAATAGAAATTACTTCATGTAAAAAACAGAGGAAAAAACGGTTTTAAAATGTGAACAAATGACTAGAGCCTAGGGAGATTACTGACGCCATAAACAAGAGTGTCAAATTGTTAAATCAACAACAGGAGTCACTGTGTACTTACTTCTCATGTGGGATCTGTCCTTAGTGTGTTGTCCAGTGTGAAGTAATGCTATAACTAGTACTGAAACAGTATTTTACACTTTGTGTTTCTGTGTGGGTGCAAACTGATGAAATCTTTACTTAATATATACTGAATTGATCTTCTGTATACAAAGATAATTGAAAATGAATCTTGATGTGAATGGAATGGGAGAGGGAGCGGGAGATGGGAGGGGTGTGGAAGGGAGGGAAATTATGGGGGGGGGAGCCATTGTAATCCATTAACTGTACTTTAAAAATTTATATTTACTAAATAAAAAAAAAATGGAAAAAAAAAGAGTGAACAAATCCTGTTACCAAAGGATTTAGTTTTGGTGTAAATGACGTCCCAAAAAGATGAGGGAGCAGAAAAACAACTTTGAAGAAATAATCACCAAAAGTTTCTATATTTGGTGAAAGACATAAAATACAGTTTTAAGAACTGCAATACAACACAAATAGGATAAAAAACCTCTCTAGAGAACAAAAAGCTGGCTTAGTGAGTGAGGTGCCCCAGAGGTTAGTTAGCATGTTAGCTTCCCTAAGAGTGGAAACTTGAAGCCATTTGCATAGTTTGTGTTTGGCTGATTTACTTATTGCAATTTAACAAAGACACAGATTTTAAAAAGCAATATTCTGGGAGCCAGTGCTGTGGCATAGGAAGTCAAGCCGCTGATTGCAGTGCCGGCCAGTTTGAGACCCAGTTGCTCCACTTCCGATCCAGCTTTGTGGTATGACCTGGGAAAGCAGTAGAAGATGGCCCAAGTCCTTGGGCCCCTGCACCCATGTGGGAGACCCAGAGGAAGCTCCTGGCTCCTGGCTTCAAATCAGCACAGCTCCAGCCATTGCAGCCAATTGGGAGTGAACCATCAGATGGAAGACCTCGCTCTGTCTCTCTCTGTCTCTGTTTCTATCTCTGTCTCTGTGTGTGTGTGTGTGTGTGTATAACTCTGACTTTCAAAAAATAATAAATAAATCTTTTTTAAAAAATCCTATCTGCTAATTTCAGGGTCTGTATTATTCAATGTGTATATCCATGCCTTTTCTTCTGAATATAACTCATTTTTCCTGTTTCTTATGACTAGTAATTTTGGCTTTTATCATAAACACTGTAAATAAAGCATTCTAGAGATGAGATTTTGTCATATTCCTCTGAACAATATTGTTTTTAGTTTTTATTTCTTTAAAGCAGGAATTTAATGACTCAAACTCAAAGTATCTCTAAGGGCCCTTTAAAATACATAATTTAGTATTTTCTAATTAGCCTCAGAAAATGCTGGTCTAGATTTCTGTCCCCCAGCCCCTTAGAAAATAGATTAACTTTTATAGAGTTCACTCCTAGCAGTCCAGCTAGACTATTCCAGAGTTTTAAGTAATTTATCCTTCAAATATATTTCTCTCTTTATCAAGTCATTCCTAGAATTTCATTGCATCAGAATTAAGGAATTGGCTTATACTGCTGAAATGACCCAAAATATGGCCCATTCTCATATTTTCTTTATATGTAGGAGTTTGCATTTCTAAGCCATTTATGATCTCCTTATTGGAGCAAGGGAAAGAGCCTTGGAAGATGAAAAGTGAGATGACAAGAACCTCATTATCTGGTAAGTATGGGAGAACCAAATAGGGAAATCCTTTCTAGACAATGACTCAGCTTCTCAGAAATTCTTCTTTAGCCTTACATGCCTGTGGGGACAAATATGTAAAGCTTTACTAACTCAGCATCTTCTCTTCTGCTTAACTCCTTTCTAATAATGCATTTTGTAAAAATTCTTATCCAGCTCCTTCCCATTCCCTCACTCCCTTTACCATGAAGATTCAGGATTTCTTAAGCCTTTTCTTCATCCTGGATTTGATGCTGGTTACAATTCATATTGGTTAAAATCTTTTTTTGCTTTTCTGATGCAAATAGGAAAAACTCAAACTAGCACATTCTACATGATCAGCCTCATTTTAATTCTCTAACTTCTTACTCTTACTTTTTAGCTTTTCGTTAGAGTTTAGTCCAGTTCTTTAAACCAAGTGAGGTACCCAGGTATGTTTCAAGTAAATTGTAGGTGTCCCAGGGCACTGAATCTCTCAACCTAGGAAAGACCAAATGGGTGTAGAGGAGTCTTGAGTTCCAAGTTTGGTTAACTCAGGACCACACACCGTATCATGTTCTTCCCAAGGGAAGTTGCAGTGTATAAGTTATATGATTGCTGGGGTCTCTACAGATTTTTGAACAGTAGTAATGATACACTGGTGTTGAAACAAAGTTAACCTGGCTATGTATGAAAGAAAATAAATTAGTAGTGGGAGAGATTAGAGGAAGAGAGCTTAATTTACAGTCTTTTAGTTAATACAGGTATAAAATAACATTACTTTTACAGACTACTTTTCCAGGACCTCATTGTCCTATACTTGGTTTCCTTAATCACTTTTACATTTTAAAAAACAAATTTTTATTTGGAATGCAGAGAGACAGAGAGAGCACTCCAAACTTGATCACCTCAAATGCTTGGATTGACCGGAGTTTGGCCAGGAATAAAGGCAGGAGCCAGGAACCCAATCCAGATCTCTTATGTCATTACTGCTGCCTCTTAGGATCTGCATTAGCAGGAAGCTGGAGTCAGGAGCCAGAGCTGGAAATTGAACCCAGGTGTCTTATTGTGGGAAGTGGGCATTTTAATCAGTATCTGAATGGCTGTGCTAAACACCTACCCCCTTAATCACTTTTCCCATGTTCTTTTATAAGTTCTCATTATCTGGGATCTCCTTGTATATTTCCCACTTGAGATTTCCTGGGCATAATAGATGTTGTGGGATTCATTAAATAGCTTTGAATCTGCTTCCTCACTTTAGTTGTTTCATTTGTTACAGCTCATGATAATGGAAATTGTTCTCATACATCTTTCAGATGGAGAACCTCTGCATGAGACACAAGGGTCATCTCTGAAGCAGTTCATGTATGATGCTATGTTAATGGAAGAGATTACCAGCTTTGGGCTTGAGTGTTCCACTTATGGAAGAAATGAGAAATGTAAAGACCTTTTTGGAAGGCAGATTGGAGATCAACAGACAATTAGCAGGCAAGAAGTAGTCACTCATAAAGAAGTCTTCACGAAGGAAACAGTCCGCAAGTACACCAGATCTCGGAAATTTGTCCATATGGACGATATAGAAGACAGTGTTTACAATCACAAGTCAAATAAGAGAGGCTTTTCCAAAAACTCCAAGGTACTAAAATACAAGAAAGTCTATGCGGGAAAGAAACTGTTTAAATGTATTGAATGTGAGAAAACCTTCACCCACAGCTCATCCGTTACTGTTCATCAGAGGATTCATACTGGTGAAAAACCATATGAATGTAAGGAATGTGGAAAAGCCTTCAAACAAAGTCATCACCTTGCTCAACACTGCAGAACACACACTGGAGAGAAACTGTTTAAATGTAAGGAATGTGGGAAAGCCTTCAGGCAACCAGCACACCTCGTTCAGCATCAGAAGATTCACACTGAAGAGAAACCCTATGAGTGTAAGGAATGTGGAAAAGCTTTCAGAGACAGCTCATCCTTTGCTCAACATCAGAGATGTCACGCTGGCAAACTACCCTATGAATGTAGTGAGTGTGGGAAAGCCTTCAGATACAACATGCCCCTTATCTCCCATATTAGGCGTTTCCACACTGGAGAGAAACCTTTTGATTGCATTGATTGTGGGAAGGCCTTCAAATGTAATGTGTGTGGAAAGTCTTCCCGCAGTGGTTTTTCCATGACCGTACATCAGAGAATTCACACAGGAGAGAAACCTTATGAATGTGATGTTTGTGGGAAAGCCTTTAGCCATCGTATGTCCCTCATTGGTCATCAAAGAGTACATTCTGGGGAGAAACCTTATGAATGTAAGGTATGTGGGAAAGCCTTTAGGCAAAGTACACATCTTGCTATTCATTTGAGAATTCATACTGGTGAAAAACCCTATGAGTGTAAGGAATGTGGAAAAGCTTTTAGAGACAGTTCCCAGCTGGCTGCTCATCAGAGAATTCATACTGGAGAGAAACCTTATGAATGTAAGCAGTGTGGGAAGGCTTTCAGACAGAGGGCGTATCTTGTAAATCATGAGAAAATTCATACAGGCGAGAAGCCGTATGAGTGTGAGCAGTGTGGTAAAGCCTTCAGCCATACTGCCAGCCTCATAAGGCATAAGAGAATTCATACTGGAGAGAAACCCTATAAGTGTGCTGAATGTGGGAAGGCTTTTGCTGACACATCTACCCGCGCTCAGCATCAAAGACTTCATACTGGTGAAAAGCCCTATATATGTGTTAAATGTGGAAAGGCATTTAGAACAAATACACATCTTAATTGTCATCAAAGATGTCATACTAGAAAGAAACCTTAAATGTAATGCTCATAGCAAAGCCTTTAACCATTGTTAGTCCTTTACTGAAAAACCGTTTGACTATTAGGAACATCTTCAACCAGATTGGACACTTTATGTGGAAGATTTTACACTGGCGAGAGATCTTAGTGAGTGGAAGGAATGTGGAAAAGTCTTTAGAAGAAGCACTCACATTGTTCATTGTTAGTTCGTGTTATCTTCTGAGGCGTCTGTTTCTTTCCTACTACCCACTCCTGTGGATGTATCTACTAAATATTCGTGGAATTCACCTGCTGCTTTTGATTCCATTGGCCTTGTCCAAAAGATATTCATTTCACTATCCCAGTCAACTGTAACTGTTCTGTCACACCTTCTTTTTTCCCTTTTCAAGTTCATTTTTCACATTAGAACCACAGTGATCTTTTAAAAATATGAGTAGTTCTATTACTTTCAAAACTCTTGTTGCTAAATTTTAAAACTCTTTGATGCACATAAAGTGTTTAGCACCATGACTGTTATTGTCTTTAGGTGGAGAGCACCCCTCTAGTAATTAGGAAAGACATCTGCACACAGCACACCTGGAGGCCACAAATTCAGAGTTCAGGGAATACATGGAGATAGCAAGGGACATATGGGCAAATGCACTAGGGTATTATCCACAGATTTCCCTGTTGATTTCCAGGAGCTAATACTGTGACTGAAAAGTCACTGTGGCATATTTCCACAGGCCACTTAGGCCACTTTAAATCTGTGCGCAAACTCCTTGAGCGCTCTCTTTAAAGGAGGTAGTAGAAAGTTGATAGCCCAGTCTGCTAAGTGAGAAAGATGTTTCTAAGTTTGTATCTCTGGGCCAGCACCATGGCTTGCTTTGCTAATCCTCTGCCTGTGGTGCCGGCACCCCATGTTCTAGTCCTGGTTGGGGTGCCAGATTCTGTCCTGGTTGCTCTTCTTCCACTACAGCTCTCTGCTGTGGCCTGGGAGTGCAGTGGAGGATGGCCCAAGTGCTTGCGCCCTGTACCCACATGGGAGACCAGGAGGAGGCACCTGACTCCTGGCTTCGGATTGGTGCAGCACCAGCCATAGCGGCCATTAGGGGAGTAAACCAACAGAAGGAAGACCTTTCTCTCTGCCTCTCTCTCACTGTCTTAACTCTACCTGTCAAAAAAAAAAGTCTAAGTTTGTATCTCTGGCCACTAGCCTGACTTATCTGGGTATGTATAGAATTGGAAAGTGTTAAGTATGAGCCTTGATTCTGATAGGGAAAAGTTAAAACGTCTACTTAAAATGCTGAGACAATATAAAATTCTAAGAATTCACTGTTTCATACTGAATGCTTGACAGATGTGAAGATCATGGTTCTTCAGAGTATTTAAAATTTATTTTTAAACAGTGAACTCTAGAAAGCAGTGTATCTATACTAGGGGTTTTGGAATTGAACATCTTAAGGTGGATGATGATTAGCACATATGATATGTTTAAACTTTAATATAACAATGTAGTGGCTTTCTCATGACTAATGCTTTTTTCCCTTGTTGATGAGGAAATCTGACCTGATACATAGAGCATGATTTGAGATGTGGCCAGAACTCTGGCCATGACTGAATTTTCTGGGAAGAATAGATGCATAATTATTTAGTCAAGGCAAACAGAAATTACCACTATTTAACTAAAGAAATAGAGAACTTGAGTGGTGTATTCCTATTTCAGGACCTACGTTCACAGATTTTAAATTCCAAGGATCCATTATGTTGTTGTGGAATATAGAACAAAGATTAAAGTGTCCTAGTATCAAACTGAGGAAAATAAAATTACAGATGAATATACTCAGGATTTTATATATAGTAAAGAAATAATTAACCTTTATGGACAGAATAGAACTTTTGAATAAACAAAATAATTTATTCCTGGAAGTTTGTTTCAATATTGTAAAGGTGTCGGTAAATTTACTCAATTCCAACTACAATGTAATTGCAAAATATGTTGACATTTCTGAAAACCATATAGAATGGTAGTTGGCAAGCATAATAAAAAATTTTTAAATGTCATATACCCATGAGTTTAGTATGTTACAAAAGTGACATTTTCGATGTGTTAGTGGGAAAGACATAATTAAATGATCTTTGACAAGTATAGATGATTTGCCGAGTGGTTAAAATGTAGGTTTGATTGCCTATGTCTAGTATCAGAGTGCTTGGGTTTGAGTCCTGGCTCTGTTCCCAATTACAGCTTTGTGAAGTGATAATGCAGACCCTTGGATTCAGCAGGTGGATGGCTCAGTACTTGGGTCCCTACCACCCATGTGGGAGAACCTGATTGAGTTCTTGGCTCCTGGTGTCAACCTGGCCCAGCCCTGGGCCATTACAGGCAAGTTAAGTGAACAAGGGGGTGGGAACACTGTCTCTCCTTCTCTGTGTCTGAACCTCTCAAAACAACGAATATTTTTAAAATGACCTTTGATAGTTATCCAACTGGAAATAGCTTCACATTTTACCTCTCCTAGAGAAGTTCCTTCAGTATACATTAAAGACCTAGTAGGAATCAGTACTGTCAGATGCCACATAATATTTCAGGCAATGGCACAGCATACAATGGTGGCACCAGTAGCTGTCAGCACATTTCTCAGAATGTGTCTCCACCAAGTGACACGTGGCTTTTAATATTATAGAAGAGAATATAGAATATTGCTATCCCTAACCACTGATAGGTTCAAGAAAGCTTTGGTAGGCAGGAAATTCCAGAAGCCAGGAGGGAGAATGACAGGAAGGATCATGTATGTAAGATTTAAGCCTTTTCCATGGAATGATACACTATGTAAAGCTAAAAGGGGTGCAGTAGGCAGAGAGTTTAAACATCGAAAGGATATAGTTCTTATTAAATTAGCTGTTGGAAAGCAGGACAAGGTGCATAGTCTGGCAAACCATATCAATAGGCAGCTCTTGGAAAAAGAAACCAAAATAGATAAAATAGAAATTCTGAACCTCAGCAATGTTCATATAAATGTATTTTTTAAAGATTTATTTTATCTGAAAGAGTTACAGAGAGAGAGAGAAAGGTCTTCCGTCCACTGGTTCACTTCCCAATTGGCCACAATGGCTGGAGCTGCACCAATCAGGAGCCAGGAGCTGCTTCTGGATCTCCCACGCGGGTGCAGGGGCCCAAGGACTTGGGACATCTTCTGTCATTTTCCCAGGCCATAGCAGAGAGCTGGGTCGGAAATGGAGCAGCTGGGACTCAAACTGGCACCCATATGGGATGCTGGCACTGCAGGCTGGGGCTTTAACCCACTGTACCACAGCTCCAGCTCCTGTAAGTGCATATTTTAAAGTCCTTCCCACTCCTCTGACAGACACCAGCAGAATATGAGTATCTAAAGGTTAGATGATGCCAGTATTGTCCAATACATGAGAAGCCATATTTTAATATAAGGATACATTAGAGGAAAGCCACTTGGAAGGGCAACGTGATGTGTCAATATTACGAATGTAATCACCTTTGCCATATTTCCATATCTAGTAACTTCTTGAAAAGCAACTACAGGAGCAGATACATAATCACATTTATTATAGAACTGTGAAAAATTTGGTACAGAACCAGTAAATTTACCACAACAACTATGGAAAGTTGAATAGGTTATTCTGCATTCACTGGAAAGAGATATTCACACAAATGTCTTGCTGTATATGAACTGAAAATAATTTTCATAACTAACATTGCATACAAGAACCATAAAGTTAAAATTCTAAGACTACATAGAAATATGTCAGAAAACATGAAAATGGGAACTACATAAACAACTATGCACACAAAAAATCCTCTGGGCATCTGGATGAGTGGCTCTTTTCGTCATTCCATGAGGTTGTTGCCGTCTGTTAAAGGCTACACAAATTTTCCTTGAGACACCGGCAAGCGTTGAATATGAGTCATCCCTTGACCATGACTTCAAGACGGGATGTAGATTTTTGCTGCTTTGCTCCCTAGACGTGATGTGACTCGTGTTCCTGCCACGCTATATCTGATAATGGTACTTTCATTTTAAAGTTCTTCTTTTGCCGTCAACCAAAGGACCAGTAGGGAAATTAGCATTATTTATTTAATGAGTTTCAGGCAAGACATCCTTGGGGAATGCGGATGGTTATTTGGTCACTGGGTGCCACAGAGCCACGGCTAGGACTGCTGGTTTGGAAGAGCGGATGCGAAGGAGGTAGCTGGCAGCGTTTGCCACAGCGACTGGAACTCAGTCCAGCTCTGAGCCTCTTCCGTGAGACTCCAGCGGCGGAGGGGAAATGCAGACCTTGTGTAGCTCAGTCATCCTGGGTTCCAAGACAGCTTGCTCACATCACCGAGGTCACGAGACTTGAGCAAAATGAGGCCCTGGCACTGGGTGTGAGGTCAGCGCTCTCAGCTGTGGTGACGAGGCCCCCCACGGCTCTGCAGGCCACCTAAGAGACAGCTCTAAATATGAATGAGGGGCCCTCCAAAAGGTCGTCTGAGGACACCTCGTCTACTCCCCCTTGGCACGTGTCTCAGTGGCAAATGCCCGCGGGAAGCCAGGGTCCAGGCCTCGCCGCCGCAGGCGTCCACCTTCTCCAGCCCTGCCGCTGCGCCTGCACGCCCCAAACCCAGCTCCGACTCCCAGGAGCCCTTGGGATGCGGCTGTGTATCCGGCGTCGACAGCATGGCGGGAGGCAGCCCCGGTGCGGGAGCCGGGACGTCGCTCCGTGGGCGCCTTGCAGTCGGCCTGCCGCGTCGCCACCCCGGCTGGGGACTACGTTTCCCGGCGGGCGTCGCGCAGCCCCGGCTAGGGACTACGTTTCCCGGCGGGCGTCGCGCACAGGGCCCGCCCGCTTCCGGCGGCGAGGGCTGTGGGGCGGGAGCCGGGGGCGGGGCGGGCGGGGCGCGGCCCCGCGGGTGGCGGGCTTGCGGGAGCGCGGGCGGGCGCCCGGCTCTGGGCGCGGCCGCGGGTGTGGCCGGGGGTGTGTCTGCGGGTGACCGTGGGCTTCCGGGAATTTGAGCACCGCGGGTAACATCACAGCCATTGCGGGCGGGAGGCCATGTGAGAGGCCTCGAGCTAAGCCCAGACCGGGTCGCGGCCCAGCGGCGGGGGCTCCGGCAGCGTTGGGGGGCTCCGCCCGCGGAAGGCCGCGCTCCAGGAGCGGGCTCGCGGCCGGGGAGCTGCGTGGAGCCCTGACCGCGGGGCCTGCGCTCGCAGGTGAGGCTGACAGGTGTCTGGGCTGAGCCGGGGGCGGTGCCGGGGTCGTCCTCTCGGGGTGCGGGTGGGTGGGCTTGGCGCGACCCAGGGGCTCAGCTGCTCGGGGGCCGGGGGAGTGCGAGGAGGCGGAGATGTGACCGCTCAGCTGGGCCCCGGACTTGTCCAAGCTCACGCTAGCCAGACCTTCCCCGCCTGCCTGCTCCCAGGGCAAAGCGACCCCCACCCCCGGCGGCCCCTGGGAAGGGTGGGGAGCAGGTCCCACCCCTGGGTCTCTGACCTCTTCGCTCTCCCCTCGCAGCCCTGCCTTCCAGGGACCCTGCCCCCCTCCGGGACGGAGGGCGCAGGCAGGAGGCCATGGGGACCCGAGGGAAAGCCATGTCCCAGGTGAGTGCAATGCAGGCTTGCTCTTCGGTACTTTAGTTCTCTGAGCATTTGCAGTTTCTAGCGAAGTGTGCTGGGCGCTCACGTTTCGGTGAATGATGTACTAGAGGTGTAGGCTCAGCCCGCCTGGGGCCTCCGGCCCGCCTCCTCCTCCTCCCTGGTCACCAGTGTCATTCTTCCTAGTGAAATAACCTGGCCTTCCCTCTACCCTCCCATCCGGGACTGGGGTCAGTGGACTCGTCGGGGGAACCCAGCAGCCCTTGTGCAGTACCCGGGCTGTCAGTACCGACTCGGTGCCAGCCCCTGGAGAAGTGAGTGGTTAAGCCCAGGCCTCCACCCCAGCAGCCAATGGCCTGTTGACAGTCACAGAAGCAGTGAGACGGTGGGAAAGGACAGTTCTTGTCCCAGCACTGTGGGAGTGGACTGGAAGGGGCTCCCAGCTTCTGGCTGCTCAGAGGAAGGGTAGGCCACTTAGCAAGGAGGCGATTGTAGAGCCAGGCCTTGAAGGCAAAGATGCTTGGTAGCAGAATAGAGAAGGGCAGCATTTTAGGTAGAGGAGGAACTATCTGAAAGCTGTTTTTCCCAGTTGGCTTTGTGACTTTTTCCCCCCCTCCCCTCCCCTCCCCTTCCCTTTCTTTTTAAAGATTTATTTTTTTTTTTATCTGAAAGGCAGAGTTAGAGGGAGATACAGAGAGAGAGGTCTTCCGTCTGCTGGCTGACTCCCCAGATGGCTACAACAGCTGGGGCTGGACCAGACGGAAGCCAGGAGCTTCATCTGGGTCTCCCACATGCAGGGGCCCAAATACTTGGCCCCTCTTCCTCTGTTTTCCCAGGCACATGAGCAGGGAGCTATATCAGAAGTGGAGCAGCCGGGACTCCGACCAGTGCCCACGTGGGATGCCGGCATTGCAGGTGGCAGCTTAACTTGCTGTGCCACTACACTGGCCCCACTGTGAGTCTTCTTGAAATACTACTAAATATGTTTGTTTCTGTCAGCTATGTCTCATGAATATGCTGCAGACAGCTCATAAGTATATGAACCAAAATGAAAAATAAAAATTTGAATCATGGCTGCTCTGCGCCCGATCTGGCTTCCTCCTGGGGCACACCCTGGAAGGCAGTATATGGTAGCTTAGGTACCTGGATCCTTTCCATCCACCTTGGGGACCCAAATTGAGTTCTGGGCTCTGGCTTCAGCCTGGCCCAGCCCTGGTTGTCATGGGCATTTGAAGAGTGAACCAGTGGATGGAAGATCTCTGTATCTCTGCCTGTCAGATATTTTTTAAAATGTACTGGTTTCCAGTTGTACCATCCTAACCCATCTTAAGTGGATGCCTGGGCACTATATGTGGAAGTTATTTATCTCTCGGATCTGGAGGCTGGAAGTCCACGATGGGGTGATGCCATGTGTGTGGCCTCTGGACAGGGCTCCCTTGGCTGTGTCACACGTGGCAGATGGCATTCATGTGGGAGGGAGGGGCGACATGATGGGAAAGGCTTCCAGCCACCGCTCAGGGCTCGGGGGTTGTTGTGTGCTTTTTATAGCACTCACTCTGCAGGACCGGCCAGCATCTTAACAAGACCTCTATTAGTTCTTCCTGAGGGCCGGGCTGCACTGGCCTGTCCCCCTTCCTCGGCCTCACTACCACCTGTCGCCTGAGGGATCAAATGTCCAGCACGTGGGCCCTTTAGTCACACTCAGACCGTAGTGCTGGGCCTCTGATGACTGCCACGTGGCCAGGCATGGGGCTCAATTCCAAGTCCCTTTTGACAGTCATTGGGATTGGAAGTAGCTGTGGGGATGGCTCTTTCACTGTAGAACGGCAAGGTAATGAGCATGCTGGGCTTTGGCTATTCCCCCTAGAGCCGAGGCAGCCACAGACGTATGTATGGCCAGGGCTGTGTGCCAGTAGAACTTTACAAAAACCAGGCGGCTGCCCAAGGCTGACACTCAGCTTGTCACTGGCCGCTCCCCTGGGCCCTTCCCAGCACAGCGGCGAGAGGGCTGTGTGCTCCACACTGCCCACTGGCTTCCCTGGAGGAAGGGCAGCCTCCCTGAGGGGCAGACAGAACGCCACATGTCCTGGCCCCTGTGGCCTTGGGCTTCTGCTGTCTGACCACCTCTCCAAGAACTCAGCCTCCCGCCCCCGTTCTTCACATCCCTGTTCTGTGTTGCATTTCCTTTGACCTCTTCTCAACAGGCCATCTCTTTTCCTTAGATTATCTGGTTTTCTTGTATCTCATTCCCATACTTCAGGAAGTTTTGCCCCAGACTCTGAAACAGAATATGTGTATTGCATGATTGTTTGAATATAGTCTGTTTGAAAGTTAGGGTCATGGGGCCGGCACTGTGGCGCAGTGGGTTAATGCCCTAGCCTGAAGCGCCAGCTGGTTCAAGTCCCGGCTGCTCCATTTCTGATACAGCTCTCTGCTATAGCCTGGGAAAGTAGTGGAAGGTGGCCCAAGTCCTTGGGCCCCTGCACCACGTGGGAGACCCAGAGGAAGCTCCTGGCTCCTGGCTTCAGATTGGCGCAGCTGCGGCCAATTGGGGAGTGAACCATCATCCATCTCTCTCTCTCTCTCTGCCTCTCCTCTCTCTGTGTAACTCTTTCAAATAAATAAATAAATCTTAAAGAAAGAAAGAAAGAGAGTAAGTTAGGGTCACACAGAGAAAGAAGCAGAGGGAGAGAGAAAGAGAGACAGAGAGGTCTTCCACCTACTGGTTCACCCCTCAATTGGCCGTAGCAAACGGAGCTGCACCGATCCAAAGTCAGGAGCCAGGAGCTTCTTCCGGGTCTCTCACACGGGTGCAGGGTCCCAAGCACTTGGGCCATCTTCTACTGCTTTCCCAGTCTATAGCAGAGAGCCGGATTGGAAGTGGAGCAGCCAGGACTCGAAGCAGTGGCCACATGGGATGCCAGCACTGCAGGTGGCAGCCCCACCCACTATGCCACAGCGAAGGCCCCTGAATATAATCTTAAAGTTCTCCTGTGGCCAGCATTTTGCTGTTTATTATAGTGTTAGAATAACCATTCTTTTTCATTTTAACTTTTCAAATTTATGTAAATGGAGCAAATTGCATGTATTTCATATATACAGTTTTTTAGAAAAATATTTATTGATTTATATGAGGGGCAGAGTTAGAGAGAGAGAGAGAGATCTTCTATCTGCTGATTCACTCCCCAAATGCCACAGTGGCTGGAGCTGGGCCGATCTAAAGCCAGGAGCTTCTTCTGTGTCTCCCAGGTGGTGCAGGGCCCAAGGGCTTGGGCCATCTTCTGTCATTTTCCCAGGCCACAGCAGAGAGCCAGATCGGAAGAGGAGCAGGTGGGACATGAACCGGCACCCATATGGAATGCCAGCACCGCAGGCAGAGGCTTAGTCTGCTATGCCACAGCGCCACCACCATACATACCTTCCCTCCCAAATGTGAAAATATGCCTCATCCCTGATTATAATGAGAATATATTCCTAGAAGTTTTTTTTTTTTCCTTGTAGACTCGAGTTTCTTAAGCTTAGGTGAAATCAAAGTACTACTAAAATTAAACGTACGGGAAAGGCGTTTGGTGAGCATTGGAGATGCAGCATGGGACACCTGGTTTTAGCTCCCAGCTTTGCTCCTGACGCCAGCTGCCTACCAGTGTGTGCTCTGGAAACAGCAGGTGATGGCGGGAGTGCTGGAGTCCATGACACCTGCATGGGAGACCCGGACTGAGCTCTGGCTCCTGGCTGACCTGGCCCCGCCCAGCTGTTGTGGGCATTGGGGAACCAGCCAGTGCATGGGGGATCTCTCTCTGACTCTATGCCTTTCAAATAAATAAAATGTGTAGACAGAAATTTAAAAATAAATACATAGAAAGAACAATAGTAGAGCCTCAAAAAATAGAATTCATACTTTAAGAAATAGTAAACTGAGAAAAATATTAGCAAATATTCTTTCATTCATATTTTTAAAAATTAACTGCAGGCAGGTGTTGTGGGCCAGTAGGTTAAACCTGCTTGGACACCCACATCCCATATCAGAGCCTCATTCAAGCCTCCACTGCTCTGAGCTCCTAATCCAGCTTCCCACTGATGTGCCTGGGAGGCAGCAGATGGCAGCTCAGGGACTGGGTCCTTACCACTCATGTAGGAGACCTCGGTAGCATTCCTGGCTCCTGGTAGTGGCCTGGCCAAGCCCTGGCTGTTGCGGGTATTTGAAGAGTAAAACAGTGGATGGAAGATTTCTCCTTCCCTCCCTTTTTTCCTCCCTCTGTCATTCTTCCTTTCAAATAATAAATAAGCAAATAAATCATTTTTATTTTTTTTAAGATTTTATTTATTTGAGAGATAGAGTTACAGACAGTGAGAGGGAAAGCGAGAAAGGTCTTCCCTGGTTCACTCCCCACGTGGCTGCAATGGCTGGAGCTGCACCGATCCAAAGCCAGGAGCCAGGTGGGTGCAGGGGCCCAAGATTTGGGCCATCTTCTACTGCTTTCCCAGGCCACAGCAGAGAGCTGGAATGGAAAAGGAGCAGCCGAGACTAGAACTGGCGCCCATATGGGATGTTGATGTCGCAGGTAGAAAATTAACCTACTGTGCCATGGCGCCAGCCCCAAATAAATCTTTTTTAAAAGACTCATTGAACTGATCCAAGAAAACCATTTGAATGATTTTTTTCCTATAAAATACTTTTTATTTGTCCTTTAAGATTTTAACAAAAAATATTTCTGTAAGGATAGAATTGTTTTTGCTTTTTCTCGTTTTATGTTTTTAGCATCTATGAGGAGTTGAATCACTGCGTCCAGTGCTTATTTCAGGTGCAGATTTTTTTTTAAAGATTTATTTATTTATTTGAAGGGCAGAGTTACAGAGAGGTAGAGGTAGAGAGAGAGAGAGAGAGGTCTTCCATCTGCTGGTTCACTTCCCAGATGGCTGCAACGGCCAGAGCTGCACTAATCAGGAGTCAGGAGCTTTTTCCTGGTCTCTCACGGGGGTGCAGGGGCCCAAGGACTTGAGCCATCTTCCACTGCTTTCCCAGGCCATAGCAGAGAGCTAGATGGGAAGTGGAGCAGCCGGGTCTTGAACTGGCACCCATATGGGATACCGGCACTGCAGGGGGCAGGCCCCAGGTGCAGATTCTGTACCTATGTAGTGTTTTCTCTTGGTATGGTGTGAATCTTTGGAAATCTGCATGTTTATGTCGCGGCAGCATGGGTAAGAATAGGACCTGCACATTTGGGAGTGGTTTATGCCCTAAGGAAGCAGGTTGGTGTAGACATCAGCAGGAGAAGCGTGTGTTGTTTTCTAGTGGATCGTGATTCACATCAGGATGCATGGCTATCAACAAGTATCGCTGCTGTTACCGGAGTGGAACATTTTAATGAGAAAAATAGCTGGACCCCACTCAAGTAGATCTTATCAGGAGCTAGCAGTCCACATCTAGTGCTTACAGCATAGTGCCAGCACATAGCAAGGCCTTGATGCTGTTGCCGTTAGCACCCACATGCCCAAGGGGTGGTTGCAGTGCTTCACAAGCAGACCACTTAGATGGTGTGCTTTTTTTTTTTTTTTTTGACAGCTAGAATTACAGACAGTGAGAGGGAGAGACAGAGAGGTCTTCCATCCACTGGTTCATTCCCCAAATGGCCACAACAGTTGGAGCTGGGTCAATACAAAACCAGGAGCCAGGAGTTACTTCTGGGTCTCCCATGCAGGTGCAGGGTCCCAAGCACTTAGGCCGTCTCCCACTGCTTTCCCAGGCCGTAGCAGGGAGCTGGAGCAGCCAGGACTAGAACCGGTGCCCATATGGGATGCCAGCACCACAGGTGGATTAACCTACTGTGCCACAGTGCCGACCCCTGGTGGGCATTTTTTAAAAGTATGTAACCTGGCCAGCTCCACGGCTCACTTGGCTAATCCTCCACCTGCGGCGCCAGCACTCTGGGTTCTAGTCCCAGCTGGGGCGCCAGATTCTGTCCCGGTTGCTCCTCTTCCAGTCCAGCTCTCTGCTGTGGCCCGGGAAGGCAGTGGAGGATGGCCTAGGTACTTGGGCCCTGCACCCGCATGGGAGACCAGGAGGGAGCACCTGGCTCCTGGCTTCGGATCGGCGCAGCACTGATCGTGGCGGCCATTAGGGGAGTAAACCAACAGAAGGAAGACCTTTCTTTCTGTCTCTCTCTCACTGTCTATAGCTCTCTCTCTCTCTCACTCTCACTGTCTAACTCTGCCTGGCAAAAAAAATTAAAAAATAAAAAAAAATTTTTAAAAAGTATATAACCTGGGACAGAACTTGGCAACCTGTGGCCTGTGAGGCAGATCTGGCCCCCATCACTTTTGGGATGGCTGTCAATGGTCTTTACTTTTTTCAATCATTGAATAAATAAAGTATTTTTATGATGTGAAAATGATAAGAAATTCAATTTTGGGTCCAAAAATAAAGTTTCATTGGAGCACAGCATCATGCTCGCTTGTTTATGTGCTGTCTGTCTTGGTGGTGCACTGGCGAAGTTGAGTAGTTGTGTCAGCGGCTGTGTGGCCCTAAACCCTGAAATACCTGCCTTCTGGCCCTTTCCAGAGACGCCGTGCTGACCTCTGACGTGGAGCAGGGTCTGTACTGCCCCGGTCAAGTCCTGGCTCGGCAGTTCATTGCCTTTATGATGTGCCATATTTCCTCTCTATAAGGTGGTGATAGTGACCATGCCAACTGTTAACATTGTCCTGCAGATGAAATAAGCTCATAAATAAATATATAGGATTGTGTCTGGAATGCTGTAAGTGCTGTCAGCTATTACTGTGTTGCTGCTGTTGTTTATGGTGACGTGTTTGCCAACAGCAATCATTGATTCTGTACATAAAGAGCTGTCTGCATAAATAGAAAATATCTTAGGGTGCATGGGTATTGTTGATGTGCAGTTTTTGGCTATTTTGTGCAAGTGTTATAGAAGGGGTGGCTACATCGTGTGGGGCTCTTCAGTCTCCAGCCAAAAAGATTTCTCCATGAGGAGTTTCTCATTTTAGTTGCAAAACCCTTTGACTTGTCCTTACACTATTCTATTAAAAATGTCTTCAAAGTCAAAGATTAAGTTAAAGAACGTGGACTCTTGTATCATTCAGCAGATCTAAACCTCAAAGGGACTTCTGTTTCTAGCAGAATAATGATATTTGTTAACTAAAAGATTTGCCTGTGGGTCTGTGTTGTGACTTGTCAAGGTATTCAATTTAGGTTTGGTGCTGTCAAATGTGGGGTAGCCAGCGACACTCAGATTGGAAGGGTGAGCAGATGAAGTTTAGCACTCACAAATCCCAGGGAGAAGAGAGAGACGTGTGAGGCCAGGCCCATGGGAAGGGATGGGTGGCTTCTAGAAGACATGTGCGTAACAGTTGGGGAACTGCAGGAAGAGGGAGGCCTTGGAGGGCCAGAGCCTTTACCAGGGTCCATGGTATTGCTTAGGTGGGCTCCCCGAGGCAGTGCTGGATTGACTGATCTGAGGAGAGTGTGCAGTTAAGTGAGAGACCTTGGGGGCTACATTCTCAGGTTTATACGACTTAAGGCAGAAGTCAGGTAAGTTGGTCAAGAGGTTCAGGACGTGGTTCCTTACTTATCTAGAACACAGTAATGGGGATGGGGTGGAAACTACCCACTCTATGTGGATCAAGGGTGACAGGCCAGGGGCAGGCCAGCAGGCTGGATGCCGAGGCCGCATCAGTGTAAGCCTGAGTCAGGAAGGTGAGCATTGGCGTTCGTTCAGCACTGACATCATCATGCCTTGCCATCAGTACATGTGTGTATGTGATTGCTGTGTGTGCGTTAGCATTGAGTATATATTGTCGTGCTGTGTACGTGTGTGTATTACCTCATTGAAGCCACATGGCAGTCTGTGAGGTTAGTGTTGTTGACTTTTTCCACTTTTCGGAGCCAACTGAGGTTTTGGAGCTACTGAATACTGGAATCTGAATTGCACCTCTCGGGCAGTCTGACCTGTTTGCTTGTTGATTTAAGTATAAACCCCACTGCTACCAATCATTTAAATCTACTTTCTGTTAGCCATGGATTTCTGAGTCAGTCAGATTGGAAGTGACTAAATGTTAGAAATGTATTGGACAGTCTCAGAGCTGTGTGCTGGAAGGGTGACAGTGAGGCAGCACACCCATCTGTTAGCAACGCCCCAGCCCGCCAGTGTGCGCCCACGGTTCCTTCCTGTGCTTCCCGGCTCCCAAGGTGACACCTGGGCTCTTAAAGGCACTTTGTGAGTTCAACACCTTATCATCTTTTTCATTCTTATCACACACTTATTTTTGTTTTTTGGGGAAAAGTAGTACCAGGGCTTTTGTTTTTATGAACATCTAGTGAGCACTTCAAGTAAGAGAAGCCCTTAGAACTCAGTCCAGGGATGAGTTGTGTCCCCTTTGAGGCGCATCTCCAGGTTTATTTCCCATTCTTGTTTGCTCCCGGTCGTGCCCGTGTCTCCAGGTTGCACACTGTTCAAGTACCTGCTGTGCAAGAACGACTTAGCCTTCATTCTTTGTTTCTATTTGCTGTCAAATAATTTTTGTTTGTGTGTTCACCTCCACAAAACTGCAAGTTCTCCAAGGAACGGCCCTTTGCTCATCTGGAGGTTGTGACATAATGAAGCTAGCTGAGCAGTTGCTAGCAGTCTGTAGATCACTAAACGAATGATCCCTATCCTGAATGACCACCGTGTCACTTCTCTCGGGCAGTGCCCTAACAAACTGTGGCAGCCTGGCCATCTCCAACCACAGGCTTCTGTTTCTGAGATCGGGGTGTGGGCAGGTTCGGTTTCCCCGGGGCTGCTCTCCTTGGCTTCCTGATGGCGACATCTTCCCGGTGTCCTCACATGGCCTTTGCACTCTGCGTGCCCATCCCTGGTGTCTAAAAGACAACAGTCAGGTTAGACAGGGATGCACCCATGTGGCCTCATGTGACTTTAGCTCCTCAAACGCTCATTCTCTAAACACAGTGACATCCGAAAGGACCGGGCTTGGGACTTCAACTCGGGAATTCGGGGGATGCAGTTCTGTAGGAGCTCTCCAGTCGTGAGGGAGTAAGAACGTGCTTGTGTCATTGCAGAGCTTGGTGGAATTTGGAGATGTGGCCATAGATTTCTCCCAAGAGGAGTGGGAGTGGCTGAACCCTGCTCAGAGGACGCTGTACCGGAAGGTGATGTTGGAGAACTACAGGAACCTGGCATCTCTGGGTAAGGGCGCTCCTGTCCCCTCGCACCTACCCTGTCAGGCTGCTGCCGTGCCCGAGAAGTCCTCCTCTCCTTTATCTGTCAGCTAAGGGGTCCAGCCCGTGGTCTGGACAGACCCACAGCGTGACCACCTCCTATTTCTTATGTATCCAGGACTTTGTGGTTCTAAGCCTGCTGTGATCTCATCTTTGGAACAAGGAAAAGAGCCCTGGGCAGTGAAGAGAAAGGTGGCAAGAGGCTGGAGCCCAGGTGAGTGTGGAGAAGTGACTGGGTGGGCAAAACCACTGCCTCAGACATGCAGCATCACCATGACTCCTCCTGAGCCTACAGACCTGGAGGCCAATCCAAGGCCTCTTTAGCATGAGCCTGGCTCTTTCCTTAACTATGCTCCCTTCCTTCTGAAGATGACTTATTTTCCTCTACTCTGTATCCCATATGTTCCTGGCTCCTCCTCCCTTTGTCATGGAGTCATCTCTTTAAAAATATCTTTAAAAATGTTTTTGACTGATTCTGATGTAGCTTTTGCTGTCTTATTTGTCTGATGAATGGCTGTTTCATGTATGGACTTATGTTTTCACTAGTGCTGAGTTTTGGCTTTGAGTAAGGCTGTCAGGTGCTGCTTGGTAATCTGAACATAAGCTGTTAAAGAAAGCATTGCACAGAGAGATGAGTCATGTTTATGCAACTTAAATGGAGTAGAAACTGATGTTCTATGGATGGCAAGTACATATAGGGACTTTGGGGAAAAAAGTAAAATTATTCCCAGTTTTAAGCTGGAGAAATAAGAAATGAGACTGGAATCTTGAGCAGAAGCATGAGGAGATGGGCAGATGAGGAGATGAGTTTGGGTGGATTGTGATACTTTGGGGGTCAAGTGTATTTCCCAGTGTCTACAGGCAGAGTGCAGTTGGGTTATTGGCTGTCAGGAGAAAAGCACACTGACTCTGATTTGATGGAATATTCTTACAGATATTGCGGTGATATTTATACTGTTTGGGAGTACAGAGATTTCAACCACAGCATTATTTCTGGAACAGCAAATAATCAAGTAAGACAAGGAATCAGAATTGAAGATTTCCTTTGGAGATTTTATTATAATAGGAAATGGTAACATTTCTGAAGAATTGAGCATATTTAAAGGCCTCTTTGTTCCAGTTTTACCTCAGGGGCAAGTTTGTGTTGACAGAATAGGACAGGTTGCTCACAGTTCTGGGTCACGTGAGCCATCGTGTCACACAAGAAGACAAGGATGATACGTTGGTGAAGGTTTTCAGTTTAACTTCTCATTAGATCACGTGCTTTGAGCTAGTTTTACGAGACAGACTCTTTTTTTTCTCCTACAGAACGTCCATCTGTTGTTGAGATTCTGCTTAGTCAAACAAAGACATGCTTTTAAGGGCAGGATCTGGGCTTTTTTTCTTAGCATTCTAACAAAAAAGGAGGCATGTACAGCTAGAGGTGAAATTTTTGCTAGATAAAGTGAAGAAGGACTCAAAGGCATTTTACTTTATAAAGCTTCAATAATCAAATCATACAGGAGTTTTTCTTTAGAGCCTCTCCTTCCTATTTGTTTATATCAGCAGCACTTTATCTTAGATTCAGGTGTTGTCAGCTCTTGATTTTCAATTTCCTTTTCCTAGTGTGCGGTTCAGCATTTAGGTGGGAAAGCTCATGTTGCATCCTTTAGGAATGTAGCCACACAGATTTAGGAGTATATGGTTATTGAATATTGCTGGTCATATAAAAATGCTTCCAAAATGACATGCTTTTTAGAGTTTTAATTCATCTAGTTACATTTTGATAGCTTTCTTCTGCCTAACACATGAGAGATATTTGCTTGCTTTCTTAATGTCTTTCAGACTTGAAGACTGTGAAGGAAAGTAAGAAGTTTCCTCCAAAGAGGGACTTTTGTGAAGAAAGGTTACCCCAGGCAGCGAGGACAGCGAGACTCGGAAACTGCAGTCTGGAATACTCTATGTTGGGGGACTATGATGATCTATTTGAGACACGACCAGTAAGTCAGGAGATAAACTGTAGGTAACAAAAAATACGCTTCATAAAACAACCACAAAAACCCAACTCTTTAGGACTGCAGTGACTCCAGGGAAGTTTCCACTTGCATACAAGATCTCCAATAGGCACAGTACCCCTCTAGAAGAAAGAGTTACATAAGCTTGATAAGCATTAGAAATGCAGGGAAAAAATTTCATTATAATGATGATAAACACACCTGTGTAAATCATAAATATTTGACTTGTTGTACGTGAGAGAAAGCTTTAAGCAGCATCTCAACCCTTCCTTTTCATTTAAGAGTTCACACAAAAGGAAACCCCTGCAGACTTACCGAAAAATGTGACAAAGCATCAGACAGCACTAAAAAATTCATGCTGCTGTGAGGTCATTCTCTTCCACAAAATTACAAATTCTCCCCAGAATAAACAGTTTCTCCTGTTTTCTCTTTTATTTTTTTCCCCCAAAACATGTATGATGTAATTAGGCCTGACCTGGATCACTCAGAACCTAAGAGTGCCTGTTTCACACTGTGCAGACACAGCCTGCTGGCCTGGTTTGTGAGTGTGTTTTGATCCAGAACATGTTTGTGTCACCCAGGGCTTTGGGAGTGTCACGGATATGGCCCTAGACTCCTCCCAGCTGGACCCAGCGCAGAGGAGCCTCTGGAAGAGTGCAGTGTGGGAGAACCACAGTGACCTGGGGTCTCCAGGTAAGGAGGTCCCTCTCCTGAATCTAAGTCTGTCTTGGGGAGGCCCCATATTCATACCTCGATGTTGAGTTCTGGAGGAGGAAGGGGGGTCTTCCCAAGTGCTGGCCTGAATTTCTGTTCCCAGTTACTGAGGTAACAGCTTGGCATTTGTGGAGTTGAAAGTTGGTATCAACATCTCTGATACTTTCAGATCCCTCTCACCTGTCTTCCTGCATTTTCTTGCAATGACACTTTCCCATCAAAACCAAGGAACTTGCTCCTGAATTTTGGAAAGCAGAGAGGATGACCACATCCTGTCTCTTTTCACTCATGCAGAACATTGTGCTTCCAAGCCCGATTTTGTCTCGTTACTGGAGGAAGGGAAGGAGCCCTGGATGGGGAGGAGAGATGTGAGAGGAGGCCTGTTCTCACGTGAGTGTGCGAGAGCCTGGTGTGGAAAAGCCAGTGCAGGTGAGAGTGTAGTTTTCATCAGAGAGGCTGAGCCCTCATTGTTGTGCAGTAGGAACCTTCAGAGTCCTCCAGGTCTGCAGAGAAAATCACACTCTGACACTGCAAAATCAATTCTTCCTTTTTTGTCCCCTTCTCTAATCATAACTCATGGCGATGGAGTGTTCTCTTTTCTTGGCACTGGGACACGCATCAGCCAGCCTCTTAGTTCCTTAAGGGACCTTTTGCTGACCCTGATGTACTTTTTTTTTTTTTTTGACAGGCAGAGTGGACAGTGAGAGAGAGACAGAGAGAAAGGTCTTCCTTTGCCCTTGGTTCACCCTCCAATGGCTGCCGTTGCCAGCACGCTGCGGCCGGCGCATCACACTGATCCAAAGGCAGGAGCCAGGTGCTTCTCCTGGTCTCCCATGGGGTGCAGGGCCCAAGCACTTGGGCCATCCTCCACTGCCTTCCCAGGCCACAGCAGAGAGCTGGCCTGGAAGAGGGGCAACCAGGACAGAATCCGGTGCCCCGACCGGGACTAGAACCCGGTGTGCTGGCGCCTCTAGGTGGAGGATTAGCCTATTGAGCCACGGCACCAGCCCCTGATGTACTTTTGAGTTATTTTCCAAAGACCGAGTCTTCTTTGTCTCAGTGACTCGTTCACTGTATGATATGTCCATTCCGTAAGAACAACAAATGGAGAGTTATGCAAATGAGCCACTCTGCTTGGTATTGGCAAGCAATGGGAGAAGGGGAGCATATACACATAGATGTAAACTATCTGAGTTGCTCTGATGGAGAGGATGAGAACATGCTTATGGAGAACTTGCATGAACTGGAGTTTGCAAATTTCAGATAGGGCCTTAGGAGATGTTCTCTGCAGTGACTCCTATGTGTCAGTAGAACAGGCTAGGCAGAGGTTGTATTGCAAGCAGACAGTGATACACAAGGGAAAGAAAAGAAATTTTCTTCAAAAGTAATGCTCTCTAAAAAATGAAATCCCATCACTTATTTGTAAAAAGATGGAAAACCATGACCCATGATTACAACATGTTAAATGTTGTGACAGCTTTGGACTCTCTAAAGTGGTGTGACATATTTTTTACAAGTAGAAATTACAGTCTGAATATCCCTTATCAGAAATGCTTGTACCAGAAGTATTTCAGATTTCTGAGTTTTTCAGATTTTAGAATATTTGTGCAGCCTTTATTGGTTGAGCACTCTTAGTTCAAAAATTTAAAATTCTTCATAATCTAAAACTTTTTAGCCTTTTTGTCAATGCTTAACATGTTTTGGATTTTTAGTTTTCAGATTAGGAATGCTCAACTTGGATAGCTACTATATTCAGTTATATGTGCAGACGTGTTTCATATGCAATCCATGTTGTATGCATGTTGCTCACTTGGTTTACTTCATGTTTCTTGGTATTAAAGATTAACAGGATAGGTTTCTTTGTCAGTGAAAATGGTACATATTGGGATTGTTTGTCCCTTTATGTGAGCATCTACTAGGCTATGAAAGTTTGATTTGTTTTTTAGTGACTATGGCAACAGTTAGATATACTGATTTAATGACATCCTCAAAGCATTGGGTGTTTACAATCCAAATTTTGTGCATTATTTAGTCAAAGACTAAATAGACTAAATTTTTTGTTTTATTATGAAAGAGATTGAATAGTTTACCCTAAATTTGGTTTTTTTCCTTTCCACTATTCTTGAATATTTTCTTAACAGCCCCAATAACTTTTATAAATAAGTATGCTAACAGTATTGTTTCAAATAATTTTTACATATTATAATAATTTTTCTTTTAATTAGGTTTTTCAAAATTGTGATTTGTAAAATAATTTTAAAATTTTGTTTAGTCTGTTATTCCAATTATGCTATCTACTGTATGTGTCCTTAGAAATGTGATAACATATATCACATACATATAGACCATGTAGCTTTACAATATATATATACCATAATTCATTTAAATAATCTGCTACTGAGAATATTTGAACATTTATGTCTTTTCCAATTTTTACCTATAATCAACATAAAATATATTCCTAGATGAATTTGCTGGGGCAAAATATACATATCTAAACATTACATGGATATTTTATGTGAAAATACCTGTTTCTAGACATCATTACAAATTTGGATATTTTATAGTTTTGCCAAGTTGTTGGGTGAAAAGCATGTTTTTTTTTTTATTTATTTATTTGAAAGTCAGAATTAGAGAGAGAGAGAGAGAGAAAGAGAGAGGTCTTCTATCCGCTGGTTCACTCCCCAGTTGGCCGATCTGAAGCCAGGAACCAGGAGCTTCTTCTGGATCCCCCATGTGAGTGCAGGGCTTGAGCCATCTTCCACTGCTTTCCCAGGCCATAACAGAGAGCTGGATGGGAAGTGGAGCAGCCAGGACTCGAACCGGCACCCATATGGAATGCCAGCACTGCAGGCAATGGCTTAACCCACTAAGCTACAGCACCAGCCCTGGAAAAGCATGTTTTATTGCATTTCCCTGGCTACTTGTGATGTTGAGAATGTAGATATTTGAATTCACTTAGTGGGGAGGCATTGTGGCACAGTGGGTTAAGTTTCTGCTTATGACACTCACATCCCATATTTGAGAGTGCCAATTTGAGTCTCAGTTCCTCTGGTTCTCTGGTCCAGCCTCCTGCTGGTGCCCCTGGGAGGCAGCAGGTTATTCCTGGAGTGTGTGGGACCCTGCCACCCGAGTGTGAGACCAGGGTGGAATTCCAGGCACCTGACTGGCCTGTCCCAGCCCCAGCTGTTGCAAGCATTTGAGGAGTGAACCAGCAGATGAAGATCTCTCTCTCTCGATCTCTCGATCTCTCGATCTCTGTGTGTGTGTGTGTGTGTGTGTGTGTTTCTTCTATCTCTGTCACTCTGCCTTTCAAGTAGATGAAAATAAACATTTAAAAAAATTTTTTTTAAATATGTTTGTCATTCTCATTTGGACCACATAACAAATCTCTTTAGCCTGTTTCTGGTACCATTTAATTCTTTCTCTCTCCCTCCTTACTTTCCCTTCTTTTCTGTAATTCTCCCCTTTCTTCCTTACCTGTTGCTTTATATGTATTTTGCTGCATGGGCTTGTTGTCTTCACTTATTTTTACTGTGGAAAAGTACACATAATATAAAATTCAACCATTGAAAGTGCATGGGCATTAAGCACACTCACAGGGTGCACAACCATCACTACTATCCAGTTCCCGAAAAGTTTTCTCACTCCAAAAGGAAACCCCATATCCATCATGCATTCTGGATGTGATGTGAGTCAGAGTTCAGCTGCATTCTTTCGAATGTGAATATCCAGTTGTCCCAACACTATTTATGGAAGAGATTATTCTTTCCCTCATTGAATAGTTTTGGAACCCTGGTTGAAAATCAGTTGTTTCTCCAAAGAAGATATAAATGACCAATAAATGTGGGGAAAATGCTAATGTCACTAATAACCAGGGAAGTACAAATAAAACCACAGTGAGGTATTGCCTCATACCTGTCAGGTTGGCTGTTTTCAAAGCAAATGGAAAAAAAGGTAACAAGTATTAAGATGTGGAGATATTGATACCCCTGAACACTCCTGAAGGGAATGCAAAAGGCTGCATTTGCAATGAGAAATTTTTTGAAGATTTATTTATTTATTTATTTGAAAGGCAGAGTTATAGGGAAGCAGGGGGTGGGGGACAGTGAGAACCTCCTGGTTCACTCCCCAAAGTGCCCGCAATAGCCAGGGCTAGGCCACTGCAAAGTCAGGAGCCTGGGTTTCACTAAATCTGTCATGTGGGCTGCAGAGACCTAAATACCTGAGCCATCATCTACTCCCTCCCTGGATGCACATTATCTGGAAGCTGGAATGGAAGTGGAGGAGTTGGGATTTGAACCAGCACTCTGATGTAAGATACAGGAGTCCTAGGAAGTATCTTAACTGCTGCAGCAAATGCTGCTCCTGTTATTTCTATGTGAATTTTTTTTTTTTTTTTGACAGGCAGAGTGGACAGTGAGAGAGAGAGACAGAGAGAGAAAGGTCTTCCTTTGCCGTTGGTTCACCCTCCAATGGCCGCCGCTGCAGCCGGCGCACCGCGCTGATCCTGGCAGGAGCCAGGAGCCAGGTGCTTTTCCTGGTCTCCCATGGGGTGCAGGGCCCAAGCACCTGGGCCATCCTCCACTGCACTCCCTGGCCATAGCAGAGAGCTGGCCTGGAAGAGGGGCAACCGGGACAGAATCCGGCGCCCCAACCGGGACTAGAACCCGGTGTGCCGGCGCCGCAAGGTGGAGGATTAGCCTATTGAGCCACGGCGCCGGCTCATCTATGTGAATTTTAATATCATCTTTTCCAATTGAGGTTTTGTTAGGAATCAACATTGAATCTGTACAGTATTTGTGTTTCCCAAATATTTGACTTTCTCCATCACCTTCCTAAAATCTATTTCCTTGCATATATATTTAATAGTGTATAGCTATACATGCACAAAATTCTGATATATGCCAAATGACTTAACAAAAGGACTTAAGGCATAATCACCCCCATGAGCTTATAGTCTGAGATTATAGATATGATTATTCAGTAGTATATGAGTATAATTAAATATAATATGATGCTCATTATTATAAAAAATGTCTTAAAAAGAAAATGATATAGTCATCTCAATAGATGCAGGAAAAAATTCAGTATCCTTTCATGATAAAATCCTCAACACATTAGATATAAAGAATTGTACCTCAACACAATAAAGGCCAAATATGACAAGCCTATTGCTAACATCATACTTAACAGTGAAAAGCTACATTTTCTTTTAAGATCAGGAACAAGACAAAGATGTTTACTTTCAACATTTCTGTTCAACATAGCACTGGGTGTCCTAGCCAGAGCGGTTACACAGGAGAAAGAAACATAAGGTATCTAAATCAGACAAAAAGTAAAATAGTCTGTGTAAATTATATGATCCTATATGTAGAAAAGCCTTAAAGAAACCCCCTCACCAAAATTGCTAGAACTAATAAATGGGTTCATTAGTTGCAGAATACAAAATCAATGTGCCAATTCAGTTACATTTTTATGATAACAATGAATTATCCAAAAAGACATCTAGAATGCAGTCCCATTTACAATAACAACGAACAAAATGAAATACTTAGGAACAAATTTAACCAAGAAGGTGAAAGAATGCTAAAAACTATAAAATGTTGATGAAAGAGTTTGAAGAAAGTAGCACAGAGAGATGGAAAGATGTCCTGGGTCTTGGATTGGAAGAATTTATATCCTGAAGATGTCCATAATACCATTGCAGATACAACGTAATCCTTATCAAAATTCCAATGGTATTTTTGATAGAAATAGGAAAAAAAATCCTGAAATATGTATGGAACTACAGAAGACTCCAAATAGCTAAAGTAATTTTGAGCAAGATGAACAAAGCTAGAAGAATCACACTTCCTGACATTTCCAAATTGTAGTAACCCAAGTTCCATGTTACTGACATAAAAACACAAGATATATAAATTAGTGGAATAGAATAGAAAGCCCAGAAGTAAACCTATGCATATAAAGTCAACCAATCTTTGACAAAAATGTTAAGAGTACACAAGAAGAAAAGAATTGTGTCTTCAATATATAGTGTTGGGAAAACCGGGTATCTACATACCAAAATAAATTTATAGAGTTCTATCTTACACTGTACATAAAATTCAACTCAAAATGGATTAAAATAAGACTCAGAAACTTTAAAAGTACACAGAAATATGGAAGAAAAGCTCGATCATATTGTTCTTGGCAATGATTTTCTGGATATGGCACCAAAAGCACAGGCAACAAAAGCAAAAAGAAACAAGTGGTGCTATGTAAAACATTTCTATACAGCAAAGGAAACAGTCAAAAAGGTTGCGAAATGGGAGAAAATATTTACAAACCATGCATCCAATAATATGAAAAATGCATAAGGAACTCATAAAATAATAGCAAAAAAGAAAAACTAGAATTTTAAAGCGACAGATGGCCTGAATGGACATTTTCCCAAAGACGACATACAAATGGCAAACACGCACATGAAAAGTTGCTCAGCATCACTGACCATGAGGGAAATGAAGTCAAAGTCACAATGAGGTAACTGCTCATAAATGCTGGGACAGCTATTATCAAAAGTTAAGAAATAAGTGTTGGAGATATGGAGAAAGGGAAACCTCATGCACTGCTGATGGGAATGTAAATTTGTACAACCATTATGGAGAACACTTTGGAGGTTTCTCAAAAAAAGTAAAAATAAAGCTACTCTATGCTCTAGCAGCCCAGTAGTGGATATATATCCAGAAGAAATTGGTACCTCAAGGAGATACCAGTACGCCCATATTCCCTGCGGCATTAGTCACAGTAGCCAGAGTTCACAGTGACAAACAGGTAAAATATGGTATGTAACTACAACATACATATTTGTTTTATATATGTGTGTGTGTAACATTTATAGCATATATATCTATAAGTAGGTATATGAATGCAATGGCATCAATTTGGCCTTAAAAATAGTCTTGCCATTTGCAACATAGAGACATTAGGCTCAGTAACATAAACCAGACATGGAAAGACAGGTATTGTATGGGAGATCTACAAAAGCCAAACTCGGGGTTGAGAGTAGAAGGTTGATTACCAAGGGTCAGGGGCTGTGAGAAATGGGGAGATATTGGTTGAAGGGTACGAACTTTAGTTATAAGACTAATAAGTTCTGGAGACTTAACATATAGCATTGGGGCTAAGTTAATAATGTATTGTACACTTTTCTGAGAGTAGATCTTGACTCATCTCACCACACACAGAAAATAGTAAATATACGGAGTGATAAATAAGTTACAGTGCTTGAGTGTAACAATCATTTCACAATGTATGCATATATCTAAACATGTTGTACACCTTACATATATACAAGTTTAGTTTGACAAGTTTTCCTCTATAAAGCTGGAAAAAATGTTTATTTCAAAAAAAATAAATAAATAACTTCCAAGGCCCTAGTAAGAAATGGTCAGCAAAGTGGGATTTTTTCAGGCTTGTGGAAATAAGTAGAAAAGTGATTCATGTGATTATTGAGCTTCAGCAGTCCATTGGCAGTGTAGCTTTCATTCAGATGCAATGCACCAAATAAAATATCATTAATAGAAACAGCCTTGGAGCTGGCACCATGGCTCACTTGGTTAATCCTCCGCCTGTGGCGCCAACATACCATATGGGCGCCGGGTTCTAATCCTGGTTGCTCCTCTTCCAGGCCAGCTCTCTGCTGTGGCCCGGGAGGGCAGTGGAGGATGGCCCAAGTGTTTGGGCCCCTGCACCCACATGGGAGACCAGGAGGAAGCACCTGGCTCCTGGCTTCGGATCAGTGCAGCACCGGGGCCGTTTAGGGGGTGAACCAACGGAAGGAAGACCTTTCTCTCTGTCTCTCTATCTATCTGTCAAATAAATAAATAAATGAAAAAGAAACAAAAGACATTCAAAAAAGTTTTCAGTCACAAGAAATTTGGATAATTTTAAAAAAATAGAAACAGCCTTTTCTGGTTATAACAAAGTAAGTGGGCTTTCAGGTAATGCTAATGAGCGTCAAGGAATACAAAGTCTTTTGCGTGCTTGGTGTGCTCCTTTAAACAGCTGTCGTGATGTAACGGCTCTGCATTCAGTGGTGTCTGCTCTGGCTTCCAAGGCAGGGTGGATGCAGTGAGAGGAAGATAAGGGCAGAGACTGTCACAGCCTATGAACTTGGCCTGTTCTGGTATTTATTCTGCATAGACCTTTTCACCTACTTACCTCCGCTAGGTGCCTGTGTGAATTCAGTCTGCAGTCTTACACCATACAATCCATGTTTAAGTGTAATAGCTCATAGAGGTGCAAAATATATGACCATAGTGAATTAATTCATCAACTTTCCTTTTATCAGATGCCTTTTTTCCCCTAACAAATGATAAAGGAAATACCTGTTTTCTTGATGTGTTTCAGGCCAACAATCTGTAAAGGAGACTCAGGAATTATTTCCAAAGCAGGACTCATGTGCTGAAAGGATAACGGACAGAACTTCACACACTAAACTTGAATGTTCCAATTTCAGAGAACATTGGGATTCTGAGTGTGTGTTTGGAAAGATGTTAGTAAGTCAAGAGACACAGTTCAGGCAAGAGACCATTACTCCTAACAAAACCCACTCTAAGGAGAGTGTGTATAACAAATCTGGAAAGTGTTTCCACTTAGACAATTCAGAAGAGAGACTTCGCAATCCCGACTCAATTAAAATTTTCCCAAAAAGTTCAGCAGTAATAAAACAAACAGGAATCTATGCAGGAAAGAAGCTTTTCAAATGTAATGAATGTAAGAAAACTTTTACCCAGAGCTCGTCCCTTACTGTTCACCAGAGAATTCATACTGGAGAGAAACCCTATAAATGTAATGACTGTGGAAAGGCCTTTAGTGATGGTTCCTCCTTCGCACGCCATCAGAGATGTCACACTGGCAAGAAGCCCTATGAATGCATTGAGTGTGGGAAGGCTTTTATACAGAACACGTCGCTTATCCGTCACTGGAGATACTATCACACTGGGGAGAAACCTTTTGACTGCATTGATTGTGGGAAAGCCTTCAGTGATCATATAGGGCTTAATCAACACAGGAGAATTCATACTGGAGAGAAACCTTACACATGTGATGTTTGTCACAAGTCCTTTAGGTATGGCTCATCCCTTACTGTACATCAGAGGATTCACACCGGGGAGAAACCGTATGAATGTGATGTTTGCAGGAAAGCCTTCAGCCATCATGCGTCTCTCACTCAACATCAAAGAGTACATTCTGGAGAAAAGCCTTTTAAGTGTAAAGAGTGTGGGAAGGCTTTTAGGCAGAATATACACCTTGCTAGTCATTTAAGGATTCATACCGGGGAGAAACCTTTCGAATGTGGGGAGTGTGGGAAGTCCTTCAGCATCAGTTCACAGCTTGCCACTCATCAGAGGATTCATACTGGAGAGAAGCCCTATGAATGTAAGGTTTGTAGTAAAGCATTTACACAGAAGGCTCACCTTGCACAGCATCAGAAAACTCATACAGGAGAGAAACCCTATGAATGTAAGGAGTGTGGTAAAGCCTTCAGCCAGACCACACACCTCATTCAACATCAGAGAGTACATACTGGAGAGAAACCGTATAAATGCATGGAATGTGGGAAGGCCTTTGGTGATAACTCATCATGTACTCAACATCAAAGACTCCACACCGGCCAAAGACCTTATGAATGTATTGAATGTGGAAAGGCCTTCAAGACAAAGTCATCCCTTATTTGTCACCGCAGGAGTCATACTGGAGAGAAGCCGTATGAATGTAGTGCATGTGGCAAGGCCTTCAGCCATCGCCAGTCCCTTAGTGTGCATCAGAGAATCCATTCTGGAAAGAAACCGTATGAATGTAAGGAATGTAGGAAAACCTTCATCCAGATTGGACACCTCAATCAGCATAAGAGAGTTCATACTGGAGAGCGACCCTACAACTATAAGAAAAGTAGAAGAGCCTTCAGGCAAACCGTGCACTTTGCTCACCATCAGCGAATGCACACTGCAGAGCCCTCGACACGCCCTTCTTTACCTTCCACATCAAGTTCTGTGGATCTGTTTCCCAAATTTCTCTGGAATCCATCCTCACTTCCATCGGCATAGTCTGAAGACCACATCATTTCAGACAGACTACTCCAATAGTTTGGAAACTGATCTCCCTGCTCTTTTGTTTTATTCTACTTTTGTCCCTTATATTGCAGGCAGACTGACTTTTTAGATGTAATCGTATTTAATTCACTCATAAAAAACTGTGTTGAAATCTTTTAAATTGCTTAGTGTGTAAGATTTGCTTAACATGGTTACTGGGCCATATTAAGTGTTCAGTAAGTTTAGCTCTTAAAAAAACTATTGTTTAGAGCATTGAAAAGTTAGCATAGTCAGCTCTGATTTTTAAAAAACTGACGTAATAGGGTGAGGCAAGGAGAAACCAGATTTGAGATCAAGAACTGGAGTTTTTGAGGTAGTTGTTAAGGTTTTGCCATGTTGTTTTGAGATTTGATAACACAGCACTGAGTTGATGTTGGCCCTTTCCATTGGGTCTTCATGAATATAAACTGATGTGAACTTGGTGGTGAGAAAATTTAGCTTTACTATATACATTTGATGGCAGTCTTAGAAACTCTAGTGAACACAAATGAGTAGGCCATTAGGACAAATGAATTAAAACAACCAGAAATATGTAAGGTTTACAACTACTGACATGCTACTGAAGAAGTAGAAAGGTTGTCAAGATTTGATCTCTTTGAAGTCACTTGGCTTATGAATAAATTATATTAAACTTTTGAGGAATCATTAACTTTGAGGTACACTGATTTAGGTTAACAAACTGACTTATGACCAAAGTCTCACCAGCTGTTCTTGTATAGTTCATGGGTAATTTTTTAAAAAATTTTTCAAAAGGTTGTAAAAATGAATATTTTCAACATAATTATATGAAGTTTAATTCTGTGTATTTAAATAAAATTTTATTGACATAGAGCTACACATTTCATTTACATATCATCTACATCTTGCTTTCAGGCCAAAATGACAAAGTTGAGCTGTTCTGACAGAGACCATGTGGCCCAGAAGCCAAAAATGTCTACTGTCTCTGATCCTTTTCAGTAAGATGCTGCCACTCCCTGTTGTAGACCACAGGTCAACAGACTAAAGATACAGGGCCAAATTCTGTCTACTACCTGGTTTTGTAAATGGAGCTTTCCTGAGCTAAAGCCATGATCATTTGTTTACCTATTGTCTGTGACTGTTTAGACCACTGTGACAAAGTTGAGTAGTTGCAACAGAGACTGTGTGGCCTGTAATATTTACTATTCGTTCATAGAATATTTACCAACTTCTGCTCTGGAGTAGAGGAGAATATACAAATAGTTCTAGTTTTATGGTAATAATAAGTCTCTGACATTAAAAAAGACAAACTAAAATAATTTATAAATAGAGATTAAAGAAGACTATTAAGCTATATTGAAAGATACAAAATATGCCCAAAAAGGGAAGTGATATTTTTCTAGAAGAAATGCTCAATACTATTAATGTTTGTACATTGTTATTCCAGAGTCCCAGTAGAATATGTTTACTTTGATGGTTTTATTTGAAACAACGTAATTAGACAAGAATAGCAGGGAAACTTTTGAACGTTTTCTTTGCATATGAGATTTGGTATTACAGTATTGACATTTTAGTGTTGGGGAGACAGTGGAGTTATCTACCTCCCTTCACTAAAAAAAAAAAAAAAAGAAAAGTAGAAGCACATTTGTACCTTACAGAAAATATAGGAAAATTGTATTAACTGTCTCTAATTATGAAATAATATGTTGAAAGCAAACACAGGAAAGAGGAAGCTTTACTCAAACAGCATGTGGGGTTCTAAAAGTATAAAAGAAGAGAGTAAGTGACCTTGCGAAGTAAAATCTCTGACCTGGTGTTAAGTACCAAAACCACAACAGCTGACAGAAAATGTTTGCAATTTACATAAAAGAATTTGCCCTTTGGGAAAGGGATATCACATGCAAAGCAGTGGGGAAGAATGGGACTGCATATTAAGAGTTATGTCACAGCTAAAGAATTCAAATGAATACGGATGATTTGTAAAGTTCTGAACCTCATTGATCAGAAAAATACCGATTAAAACAAGTTTCCTTGGTTTCTTGGTGGCTCAAAATCTAAAATTTGTTTTAAGATCCAATTCTGGTGTCAGTGTGGGGGAACAAGTACTTATTTATCGTTAGCAGTGTAAATTTTTCTTCTACATTTTTGTCTGACAATATGGCATGTTCTGCCAACATTATAAACATGCATTCCTTTTGAAATAGTAATTTCAGATCTAGGAACTTTATCCCATTGGAATAAATATATATAATTGTTACAGAGTTGTTTTAATTACAAGTAAGAATTTAGTATTCTGCCAAGCAGATTACTTTAACTGTGATTATTCAACACTGTATTATGCAGTTAGTAGAAAGAAGTTAATCTCCAAATATGTATCTGTGGACAGTTGTCCACAATGTTTGAAATGAATTATGTGATTTTCTGAACCTTTTGTGTAAAGTGATTTTTTAGTCGGAGTCAACATTAATATCAAATGTGTATTTTTCTGTGTGCATGAGCATATGTATTGAAATCTGCTTTTGTCTTTAAGACATCCATTTTTCCTAGCTTTTTGTGAGCACTTTCCTTTTCTTCTATATTTGGATGAACTGACAGTCCCATGTAACTCCAGTTAAATTAAACAGATTTTTTCATTCTTTGTATTTTGATTGGAAATGCAGGGATAGGAGTATGACCAGGATTCAGCTTTATGAGGATGTTTGCTTTTCGTGTTCATTTTGATTGGTTGAAGCCCAGCTGTGTCACTTCTGAAATGGAAGTAGTTTGAATTGCATCATGCTTTGGCATCAACCTAAAGATTTCTGCATTTGTCACGGGAATCCATTGACGTGTTTCCTGCTTTCTTATATACTGGTTTTGTTCTGTTCTTTAAATCAGTTTGCTACTTGGTACTTTTCTAGTATTTCATTTCTAATTTTAAGTTAGTCAGGTTCTTTTGTTTTCAACCAAAGAAAGCTTGTCAGTACAGATATTCATACTAGAACATGTCCACCAAGCTGTAAAGAAACAGCATTTTGGAATGGTAGCAATGCTTAATCCTATTTTGTACTATGAAAGGATATTTATTATAGAAGAACTATATGCCAATTGTGCATTAGGGGTCATACAGCTCCCACCAAAAACAAAAGGTGATGTAGAGTGCTTCCTCTGAAAGTTTATATGCTATTTATAATGAAATTGGATAGTTAAAATTTAGGGCCACTTGAAATTCTGACCATAAGCAAGAAATTGAAATCATGACAATATCTGTGGGGCTGGCATCATGGTGCCGCCTGCGAAGCTGGCATCCTGTATTGAGTGCCAGTTCAAGTCCAGCTGCTTCACTTCCCATCCAGCTCTCTGCTACAGTGTCTGGGAAAGCAGTGGAAGATGGCCCAACTGGTTATAGTTCCAGGCTCCTGGCTTTGACTTGATGCAGCCTGGACCAAGTCCAGGCTTTGGGTTTTATCCAGGAGCTCCTGGCTCCTGGCTTTGGATCAGCACAGCTCCAGCCGTTGTGGCCAACTGAGGAATGAACCAGCAGATGGAAGATCTTTCTCTCCCTCTTTATTTGTAACTCTTTCAAATACATAGATCTTAAAAAATAAAAGAAGAAAAAGAAAGAAAAGAAAGAAAACTCTTACTAGCATGGGACTACAATAGGTGAAAACCAAACACAAGGATAGGTGCAGTTAGTTGCTGAGCTGTGATCCTACTGAATTCCCAACTTTGCCACTTCTCTTAAGTAATCGGATGTGGCTGTCAGGAAGGATTCAAGGATCTTAGAAAACTTTGACTCCTTCTTTTAACGCAAAAGTCCCTTGTGTCTAAAAATGTAATTGTCCTTTCTTACCCTCACCATTATTGCTTGGCCATTAACTAAAAACAAAAATTGAATATAACCTGTGTTTTAAATTACAGGATATGGAGAAGATTGATCTCATCTAGAAATATTTACCAGTTATGCCATCAAAACCTTAGGCAACATTTTAAAAACATGTTTTGGGAATTAAAAATTATTTTTACAAGATCCCAGCAGGGCCCCACTGTAGCTTTTCCATGGCCCTTTGACATAAAAGAAGCATGAATATCTTTAAAATGTCCCCAGTGTCTTATCCTGTAGGTGTTGGGACTTCTTACGAGACTGGATGCACTTTTAAAGGGTATCTGATTTCTGTAGAAACTATGGCATGTGTAGTAGCTAAATTACAGGGCAGCAGTTAACTATGAGAAGAAAGTGAGACACAATAAAGCCCCTGAAGCCCCAGAATGTACTGATTTATGATATTTTCACTGTATGTAACAGTCCCCAGGATTGAAGCTGCTCTAACATTTTGTTTAATGAAAAACACTCCATGGCATGGATCCAAGTCTCACATGGACTTGAATCAATTGTAGTTGGACTGGGTATTCTGTTGTTGTTGTTGTTGTTGTTGTTTTTGACAGGCAGATTTAGACAGAGAGAGAGAGAGACAGAAAGGTCTTCCTTTCCGTCGGTTCACCCCCCCAAATGGCCGCTGCAGCCAGTGCAGTGTGCTGATCCGAAGCCAGGAGCCAGGTGCTTCCTCCTGGTCTCCCATGCGGGTGCAAGGCCCAAGCACTTGGGCCATCCTCCACTGCCTTCCCAGGCCACAGCAGAGAGCTGGACTGGAAGAGGAGCAACCAGGACAGAATCTGGTGCCCCGACCGGGACAGGAACCCGGGGTGCTGGCACTGCAGGTGGAGGATTAGCCTAGTAAGCCATGGTGCCAGCCTGGACTGGGTATTCTTGAATGATTGTAATTAAAATCACTGAACATTTCCACTGGGATTCCTAAACTTGTCTTTATGCAGAGTGAGGGCTTATGGAGGAATTATGTAAGGGCACCTTCCAGCAGGTCTGTTGAGACTGAAAATCCACACTGTTTATTTCCCCAGGGCCTGGATATAATGTGTTAACTCTATCCTTGATAAATGACTTGATGATCACTAAATCTGTGCTTTTTCTGTTGTCTGGAATTGATTCTGGGATATTGCTGCCCAGGCACAGCCAGCATTTTCTGATCACCCTTGCTTCCAGTTGTGCCACTAGGCTAATTTGCATTGATGCGGTGTAAATAGAAGTGATACGTTATTTGGAGCTTGGTTATTAAGAACAGGATTGTGACCCAACTGGGAGAAGGATCATAATAGAATGGAATGGCAAAGCTGAAAGATGGAAGAAGTCTTGAGTCTCTAAACTGCTATTTGAAGGAAAGCTTCCAGTCATCCAGAAATGCCAGCAATGGATTGAGTGAGTGAGAAATAAACATATTATTTAAAGGCATTGATACTGGATTTTAATTGTAATATCAGCTACTATAATTCTCATCAGTGGCATTTTTGACTGTGGATAGAATCCCCATTTTAAGTTGTTGAGTCATAAAGTAGGAGCTTTGGGTTATTCTTCTATTGTTGTGTGACAATTTATGCAAAATGCAGGAGCTTAAAACAGATAGTTGTTTATTTCAAGTTTTCTTTGGATAAGGAATTCTGAAGTATGGCTTAACTGGTTGCCTTTGGCTCAGGGTCTCTCACAGGCTGCAATCAAGTTTTGGTGTAACTGTTGGCAAGTTGTAATTCCTGACAGGCCTTTGGCTGGACACATCAGTTTCTTCCATGTGGGCCTCTCTATAGGGCAGCTCAAAGATGGCAAGGGACTTCCTTGCCCGTGATGGGAACTTGGAGCCTTGTAACCTTGTGTTAGTCATGACATCCCCTGTCTTTGTATTTAATTAGGTCCTGACTACTTTGAAAGGGAGAGAATTGCAAAAGGGCATGAACAACAGGAGGCAGGGATTTTTTTTAAAGATAGATAGATTTATTTATTTATTTATTTATTTGAAAGTCAGAGAGTTACACAGAAAGAGAAGGAGAGGCAGAGAGAGAGATCTTCCATCCACCAGTTCATTCCCCAGTTGGCCACAACTGCTGGAGCTGCGCCGATCGGAAGCCAGGAGCTTCCTCTGGGTCTCCCATGTAGATGCAGGGGCCCAAGGACTTGGTCCATCTTCTACTGCTTTCCCAGGGCATAGCAGAGAGCTGGATGGGAAGTGGAGCATTTGGGACTTGAACCAGCGCCCATATGAGATGCCGGCACTGCAGGCAGCGGTTTTACCCGCTATGCCACAGCGCTGGCCCTGGCAGGGATCTTTGGTAACCATCTTACTGGTGGCCTACCATAATTTGGCCTCTGGCCTCCCAAAGTTCATTTCCTTTAAAACATGCAAATATACATCCCCAATTCCAAGGCCTTTCCCAGAGTTTCACTTTACTAAAGTATTAGGTAAAAACAAAAAAAAACTGTGTCATCTAAAATAGGTCCAGTTTAAGCTAACCTGATTTTCTTGAAAACTTTGTGGGCTTCATGTGTATCTCTTGAGTTCATGGCATTGGGTAAAACCCAAAGCCATCGATATCTTTGAGATGAGTTGAGTAGAGGCTTAATTATTTGAACAACAGTATCTGTGAGGGTTCCCCGTAATCTCTACAAAGCTTGTGTGTCATTAAGTGGAAGTGGTACGCTGAGACATTGTCTTTGCTCTTCCTGAGGTTCTAACAGGAGTTTACAGTCCTATCCTTAGTTTTCTCTGTCTTACTTTGCCCAGTAGTACTTCTGGATTTTATCTTTGCTTG